GCAATTCCAACAATGTTTACTTTCGCCTGGAAACGCGTGCGCGCGTGTCCCTGAACGCAAAGACACCCAGATTATCCGGCTCGTGGAAGGAAGTAGCAATTTCGCGGCACACGTTACGTTCGTTAACGAGAAGGAGCGTTCGCGAGTAGTTTCATAATTACACGAGCCACCACCCGGTCTGTCCAGCGAAAGAGGCGAGAAAAACGGAACACGACCCATAATGGGATGCAAATCGATTTCCACCGACGCCTGGAAACCATTTCGCAATCCGCCGCCACGCTTCGAACAGCGAAGAAATTTGAAGGGGGGGAGAGGCGGGGGGACAGCGTGTAATCCGTAACGCTGTTGCAAGGTAACATTGTGCTGGCGATAAATTAGGAATATGGCGGGCTCGCGAGCGGAACCGGCGCGTAGCCGGATGTACGCGCTTGTTTACATTGTTTCATAAAGCAGCTTCACGGTAAAAGCGCGCGCGGGTGCGACGTACGATCACTGAACGAGACAGCAGACCCACATTCGAACGCGTGGCTCCTGCGCGGCCAGCGTCGTCCCTCCGGCTCCACTTCCGTCAAAGAACGTACCCTTCGCTGGGCTTCCGGCGCGCTCCCGTCCAAATCGATCAAGTATGTCACTTTCTATTTACGTTCGCGCGTTATACCTACGCGCATGCCGCAGAACTCGATCGTTCGAATCAGTTCGCTTAGTTTTTCGTACGCAACGCGTACGAACCTTGTGGCCTACGCCTATTTTCCATGTGTGGGTACTCTCGATATACGTGTAGTCTTTGTACGTAGGTATTCTAGATATATGTATACCTTCCGTGTGTTGGTATTCTCGATATATGTATTTTCCATGTGGGGGTATTCTCGATGTACGTGTATTCTCCTTGTCTAGGTATTCTCGATGTATGGGTATTCTCCATGTGTGGGTATTCTCGATATGTGTATTCTCCATGTGTGGGTATTCTCGATATATGTATTTTCCATGTGGAGGTATTCTCGATAAGTGTATTCTCTGTGTGTAGGTATTCTCGATGTATGTGTATTCTCCATGCGTGGGTATTCTCGATATGTGTATTCTCCATGTGTGGGTATTCTCGATATATGTATTTTCCATGTGGAGGTATTCTCGATAAGTGTATTCTCTGTGTGTAGGTATTCTCGATGTATGTGTATTCTCCATGCGTGGGTATTCTCGATATGTGTATTCTCCATGTGTGGGTATTCTCGATATATGTATTTTCCATGTGGAGGTATTCTCGATAAGTGTATTCTCTGTGTGTAGGTATTCTCGATGTATGTGTATTCTCCATGCGTGGGTATTCTCGATATGTGTATTCTCCATGTGTGGGTATTCTCGATATATGTATTTTCCATGTGGAGGTATTCTCGATAAGTGTATTCTCTGTGTGTAGGTATTCTCGATGTATGTGTATTCTCCATGCGTGGGTATTCTCGATATGTGTATTCTCCATGTGTGGGTATTCTCGATATATGTATTTTCCATGTGGAGGTATTCTCGATAAGTGTATTCTCTGTGTGTAGGTATTCTCGATGTATGTGTATTCTCCATGCGTGGGTATTCTCGATATGTGTATTCTCCATGTGTGGGTATTCTCGATATATGTATTTTCCATGTGGAGGTATTCTCGATAAGTGTATTCTCTGTGTGTAGGTATTCTCGATGTATGTGTATTCTCCATGCGTGGGTATTCTCGATATGTGTATTCTCCATGTGTGGGTATTCTCGATATATGTATTTTCCATGTGGAGGTATTCTCGATAAGTGTATTCTCTGTGTGTAGGTATTCTCGATGTATGTGTATTCTCCATGTGTGGGTATTCTCGATATGTGTATTCTCCATGCGTGGGTATTCTCGATATATGTATTTTCCATGTGGAGGTATTCTCGATAAGTGTATTCTCTGTGTGTAGGTATTCTCGATGTATGTGTATTCTCCATGCGTGGGTATTCTCGATATGTGTATTCTCCATGTGTGGGTATTCTCGATATATGTATTTTCCATGTGGAGGTATTCTCGATAAGTGTATTCTCTGTGTGTAGGTATTCTCGATGTATGTGTATTCTCCATGCGTGGGTATTCTCGATATGTGTATTCTCCATGCGTGGGTATTCTCGATATGTGTATTCTCCATGTGTGGGTATTCTCGATATATATATTTTCCATGAGGCGGTATTCTCGATATGTGTATGCTCCATGTGTGGTTATTCTCGATATGTATTCTCCATGTGTGGGTATTCTCGATATATGTATTTTCCATGTGGAGGTATTCTCGATAAGTGTATTCTCTGTGTGTAGGTATTCTCGATGTATGTGTATTCTCCATGCGTGGGTATTCTCGATATGTGTATTCTCCATGCGTGGGTATTCTCGATATGTGTATTCTCCATGTGTGGGTATTCTCGATATATATATTTTCCATGTGGCGGTATTCTCGATATGTGTATGCTCCATGTGTGGTTATTCTCAATATGTATTCTCCATGTGTGGGTATTCTTGATATATGTGTAACCTCCATGTGTGGGTACTCTTGATATACGTAATCCTCGATACATGTGTACCATTGATATATATATATATATATATATATCATTTCCGATATATATATATTCCTGACGAGGATTTTCGATGTATGCATATTCTCAACGTGCCTCGTGGTGTCGAGAGAAGGAGCAGAAGATGGTAGTCGCGGGAAAAATCGATGTCTTTCGTGGACTGCATTGCTCGACTTCGCTAAGGGAGTACGCGAGGTTTCTTGTAAGAAAAATGATACACATTCGCGAGGAATATTTTCTCGAAATAAAACGTAGTAGATATAGTATAATATATGGATCAGTGACCCACGGATGCAACGTGGGTGACGAAGAGTTAAGCTAGGGTGGAATAGATCGGACGAGATGCAGAGCGATTGATAGGAACGATTTTTAACACAGGATCAACGTACTTTAGGCATCAGAGTGAAACTACGTACCTTAGTATCGACGTACTACAAACAAGCAAGTACCATAGCAAATGTACATACTACGATAGAAATTGATATTGTCAGTTGCATCTAGTCGTCGCGTTTTCTTCCTATAGAAGATTTCATAACCAAGACTGCAGAATGCAGCGCGTGTCTTTAAGCGAATTGAATCTAGAATCCCAAGACAACAGCCTACACAGCTACTGGTTGGTTTGATTTACGACCTCGTCTTACCGTGACCCGTACTATGGTTAGACTCATCGTAGAGGCTATAGTTTCAATTAAATACATAAGTTTCAATTAAACGCGTGCATTTGAAACCGCGCATGTTACTCGCACCACCGAGCGATCCTATATACAGTGCATCTCTATGTTCCTTACTGCGTCGAGTGTCGGTATATTGGATACATCCTTGGTACACCGAGGCTTCTGCCTATACCTCTTAATCAGCGCTCCACTCTGCAGGTCGCGAGTGAGAAGGGGTGACAAAGCAGGATAAATTGCATCGTCGCCTATTAATCAATCCGCTGGAGCAAGATACGAAACACATAGTCTCAGCTACGCCGGCCTTGGCAAATTTTTATTCCAGCCACTTTTCCTACCCTCCTTTACAGGCCACCTTGTTTCCTGGTACAAGGAAGAACAGTCCTCGTAGAATAATCGCTCGGATATCGAACGACGACGTTATAGCTTATTGAAATTTGCATAGACGCTGGTACGCCAATAAACCGAGCGAACCGCTATAACCCTGGATAAATTCCAACGTGGCTGCTCCTCTGTTGGCCCCGCACACGTGAGCACTCGATGCTGCCCGAAATATTAAAGTAGGCCGGTAGCAAAAACAGATATGATCGCACAAAATTATCCGCTGCCTTGGTCAATTCTCTCTGGCCGACCGTTTAATCTTCGCGGATGATGAAAATTTTCAACGACGATGGTTAAATATTTCACAGTCGAATCGTATCGGTGAAAGCGATTCGTTTTCAACGGCTCGTTATCAACGGCTGACCTCTTCGTTAAAGAAACGTATCATTTCGTCACGTTCCGTTGCCAAACGTGTCGTAAACGATGCTCGGCTCTGATTTCATGCAGACCACGTACTATATTCATGATACAGTTCAGACGGTTCTATAGCCAGGATTTTGGAGCACGCAACGTCTCGCGGAGTTTGCCAATGATATAGTATTCCGTCAGCGTGAGAGTCTGCTTAAGATCTTCTACAGCCATTAAGACGCCACCGTTTGTGTTACCACTGACGATATTTATTAATCCAACAGATGGGTATCGGCTAATATCTATAATAGAGATTTATCGCTGTTAGACAACCTACAGATTATTCCGTTGTTTCATTCGTTGCGTTCTCTGGGTTTCAATGAGAAAAGATAGAGTGACAGGAGGTACTCTATTGTTTCACATCCTGGAATTTCTTTTGATACCTAGACTACCGACCTGGAAATTCTGTATAACGAAGTAGCGAAATGTAATATATGTAGGTAATAACAATGTGGCGATTTCGAAAGCTCTAGAGCGTTCGATGACTAGTCACAAATCGTACAGGGGTACATGTTGCGGATCACGGTTCTAGAGAAATCAGAACCATCGAGGGCGTTCCGTGAGGTTTGTCTCCCTACGAAGACAAAAGACAATCAGGCACTCAGATATAAAAAGCGAGCTCCTAATCGCTAGGAGAGACAATAATTAACCTCCTAATTAGACTATACCTCCTGTTAACACGGTTCCCATTTTATGGAAAAATTTCCTCGTAGCAGCCATTTTGGTCCCACCGGTAGATCCCTGGTTAAGATCGTTAAGATCTCTCCGAGAAGTTCAGAATTGGAGAGGCTCGCGGGAGCTGCGCTGAAATTTGACTCGTTTATCATGGATCGGGAACGGTAGTACGTGATCTAGCCGTTTAATCAAATAATCGTGGACTGCTGGCTCGTAAACGAGATAGGCCATTGTATGAAATACGCTCTCGCCGGTTGATCGATAAAACCTGTTTCGCTTGTGTTCCAGGTGATAGACTTTGGTTCGAGCTGCTACGATGACCAACGTATCTACACGTACATTCAGAGTCGCTTCTATCGCGCGCCGGAGGTGATCCTAGGCGCAAAGTACGGCATGCCGATCGACATGTGGAGCCTCGGTTGCATCCTGGTGGAGTTGGTTACCGGTTTTCCTCTGCTGCCAGGCGAAGACGAGGCGGACCAGCTGGCCTGTATCATCGAGTTGCTAGGCATGCCGCCGCCTCAGCTGCTAGAATCCGCGAAACGGCGTAGGCAGTTCATCAACTCGAAGGGTTATCCACGCTACTGCACCGTTATAACGATGTCCGACGGCTCGATCGTATTGAACGGCGGTATCTCCAGGAAAGGCAAAGACCGTGGTCCACCGGGTTCCAAGGATCTCCGGAAGATGCTGAAAAATTGCGGCGACCCGTACTTCCTGGATTTCATTCATCGTTGCTTGAAGTGGGACCCGCAACAGCGGATGACACCCGGTGACGCTCTGCCGGCGTTGCAGGCTGCCCCAGCGTCGCCTACGTCCGCTTCCGGTCTCCGTACTTCCGCGTCCGGCAGCAAAAGTTCGACAAAGTCGAACACCCTGCAGAGCAACAATACGGAGAATACGAACAAGGTGAAGCAGCTGAACGACATCTTCCACACTATGTCTACCATTTACTCGGCGCTGCAGCGTAACGACGGTGAAAGAGGAAGAGGAAGAGGCCAACCGGTTGCTACGAATCATCAGCCGATCATCAACATTCGTCGGTCGATGCACTGTATCAGTGATGACTCTAGTAGTGGTGGTGGTGGTGACGGTAGTAGCAGTAGTACCAGTGGTGTTCTGCAGCAACAACAGCAACAGGCGCAGCCACCGCAACCTCAGCAGTATCAACAGCATCAGCAGCAACAACCGCAAGCACAACCACAGCCACAAGCACAACCGCAGCCGCAGCCGCAGCTGCAACCACAACCACAGTTGCCGTCGCAGCTACAGCCACAACCACAGCAGCAACAGCAGCAGCAGCAACAGCAACCACAGCCTCAGCCACAGTCACAATCGCAGTCGCAGGCACAGGCACAGCAGCAACAACAGCAGCAGCAGCAACAACAGCAGCAGCAACACGGTCATCAGCTGCAAAAGAAGCAGCAGCAGCACAGTAATGGTTCGCATGGCTCGCACGGTTCTCATCGGTCTCGAGGATGGCGAGGAGTCGAACCTTCCGACTTTCTCGAATCTCACGGATGGCTACTCACGTTTCTCGAGTGACTCGAGAGGGAGGACTCTGATTAGCAAGGACATTCTCGCGGAACCGAGACGATTTATCGAAATACGAGATGACCCCTGTCTTTTCTAACACGCGCACCGCACTCGATGTTGCCGATGTGATCTCGTATCTCGTTGACTCGTCGGATAATCGGCTATCTCGACGGTTATCTGTCGACGCGCGTCTCGCTGATACCCGTCATCGTCGTCCAACGACGCCGAGATATTATGGTGTTCCTGCCTGTGGTAATATGGTCGCTCGACGAGAGGAGATCCCTCAGAGTCAAAAGAGAGAGAACGCGGCCTCGTCTTCGACCTCCGGATACTACTGTGATCTACGCGATATGTTACTTCAAAAAAAAAAAAAAAAAAAAAACGAACAAAAAAGGAAAAAAAAAAAAGGAAAGAAGGAAAGGAGAAAGCAAAGAGAACCGCCGTAGGTGCGATGGAACTGGAAAATCGTTCGCGATACCTCGAATCATGTACCTCACCTAGCTCGTCGTCGTAGCTCCTCGTTGCCTCGCGTTGCTTCGCGTTGCTCTCTAATTTGCTTGTCCAGGATCCATTTCTCGCCGCCGTTTGCTCGAGAAGAGGGGGCGTGTACGATCCGGTCGCTTAATCGAGGACGATTGCTTTCGGTGTTCACTTTTGTGGTCGACCACTCGATTCGATTCGCAAAGATGCCTCCCGTTGTACACCCGTTGTACCCACGTCGACGCGTTACGTGCTACGTATTCGTTTGTTCGTTTGTTCGTATCTCTGCGTGACGTTTGCGTCCTATTATCGCGAAACGAGAGGAGGGATCCTGCGGGTAGAGGGGACGACCACGAGGTTATTGTGCCAAGGGAAGCAGGAGAGCCAAAGATTTGCGCCACGTCGATGAATCGATTCTCCGGAGGTGAGAAATAGTCGAGAGGTTTATTCAGACCTGCTCCATGGTGCAGGGTGGATCGCGCGACGAAGCTCGTTCGTGGATATCTAGACATTACCGAGGCGCCGCGATACGACGAGCCCCTTTCACGTTCGCCAGGAATCTAATAAGCAAAGGGCGTGTGCCTGAATAGAGTCATCCGAGAAGCTTTTTAGGTCAGAAGATTCCTCCGTAATACTATCAATATCGGGCAGAAGGAAAGGTTGGTTTTCCATCGGGCTGGCAAGTGTAATTGTTGATTAAAGGAGGTCAAGCTTGCCTTTCGGATCGAGCCAAGCGTCGATCAACCGAGACGACGTCTTGAGGAACGAGTGCTCTTCGAGAAGAGCACGAACAAACGACGTCGATATCGAATTCGTACAATTGATAAGATAGAAAGTGACCGTGAACGTCGGCATGCGCGTTCGTCCCTTTTTCTCAAAATTCTTTTTTATCCTTTTTTATTCTTTTTTATTCTCTCCCTTTTTATTTTTATCTCTCGTTTAAGTCGAATATTTTAGCCGCGTAAAATTATTCCGAGCAAAGATTCGCATGCCTCTCGCCATTTTCGTCCCGAAAATGAAGTAAATAGCTAGTTTACGAAAAACGGATCGAGTTTTGTCAGATTGGAATGCACAGTGCCACGCGTATTGACTATTTATGGCAGCCAATGTCTTCTTACACGAGGTAGCCAAGATCCCCTGCGCCTCTGAACTTTCTCATTCTTCGTCGCTGATCAACATGCTAGGTAGACGAATTTTTCCCTCATCCTCGTTAGGACCAGTTCCTCATCGACACTGCCCTGCATTTCGCGTTACGTGTTCATCGTTCTCGTCGTTCATCAGCATTTACAACTCGGCCAGCTGGAATCGGTCGGGTGACACGTAATCGTAGTCCAGAACGACGAGAGTCGTTCTCTTCTTGCATTTCGTAGCATTGATCTCTACGACGGCATTTATCGAACCGCTTCATCGACCTACGAGGGTGCAACCCACTCGCGAGCTTCGAATTCGCCTCTGTACTCGAGCAGAAGCTCGTTGCGATGGATCTCACTGTCGTGGATCCGATATCGTAGCGATGGATCACGCGGTCCTGTCTTGGATCTCGTCTGGGACGAGCGAATGGAAGACGTCGACGTGCGCGAATCTGCGCTAATCTGCGCTAATCTGCGCGAATCTGCGCGAATCCCTCGGAGGAGGACCCTGCGCTTGTAATCTGGCCGCGACCCTGGCACAAAGCGAATTCATGCTAATTTTAGTTTTAGTCGGAACGGGTTGTAGGGGCGCGACGAAGTCGGGAAACGTGACGAAAGGAAGAGACCGCGTGCGAGAGAGGTGGACGATCGACGATCAAAGGGAACCAAGGAGAGAACGGTGGCGTTTGGTACACGAGGATATGATGTATCGGTGATAAGAGAGGAGGAAGAGAGCCATACGGGTTTAGCGATGATGGAAGAGAGACAAGTTGGCCACGAAAAGTGACGAGCTAAAGAGGTAGAGTCTTTTACGATGATTAATAAAAACAAAACGAATGGGTACGAGACTGGGGGGCTGTGGGTGGGTAGAGGGGTCTTACGACGCGAGACACGGAGGTAATTAAATCGTGATAAATACATCTATATATATATATTATTACATGTTGTAACGCTAACTAAGAGAGAAGAAAAAAAAGGAAAAAAAAAAAACGCTACGATTATTAAGAAAGAAAGAAAAAAACCCGCGTATAGTGAGAAGTAGTGAGCTAAAAAATAAAAAAAAAAAAATCGTAAAAGATAAGACGCGTTACAAGAAGCGACAATGAACAAACGGTATCGTGAAACGGTGCACGATGTATGTGTATGTATCTTTCACGATTCCTGCCTTTTCCCCCCCTTTTCGTTTCAAATTTCTTTGGTGATTACGATCATACGAATCTTCGTTCCCCCTCTTGTAATTTTTGTATTTCTTTTTCTTTTCCTTTTTCGATAATCTTTTCGTAGATCGTACACAGCGATCGCGCGGCCTGCTTTCGATTGATTTTGCGAGAGAACTGAACATCGGTTCATTTCCCCTTCGTTTTTAATTTATTTCTGTTTTATTTTTAATCTTTTTCTCCTTTTCTTTCGCAAGGTACGCGAAACGTGCAAAGGCTCATCCATCCGCTGGTCGAGAAACGTGGAGGAAACACAAGCATCCGCCGATCGATCTTTCGTGGTCGCGTCGGATTTAGTTTCACCTGGATTTTTCGCGTTACGTTAGCAACGTCCGCGCACGTCCGTGATCCAAGATCGATCGTTAATACCACTGCCAATACCTTCCTGTATAAGTTCGGGCTTTCGTTTTCTCGTAGATACACACAGGCGATCGCATGTATTATTTACGATCCTAGTCTACCCCGGCGAAATTTCAATAGCGTCCTCAAGGACGACGTCGTCGTTGCGTTCGCGCGAGAAATATTATAATAACGCGTTGAACGTGCTCGAGAACGTGCGTGTCGTTGTTTCTAAGCGAACAGCACTTCGCACTGGCTCCTAGAAGAACGAAAGATGAACAAAAAGACAGTCAGACGCAGGCGAAACGTTTTACAATTTTACTCGAGTTTTGTTCTCCTTTTTCCTTTCTTTTTTTTTTTTCATAATATTAACAGATATAGATCGCTCGAGTGTTTACGTTCGACGTAATTTAATCGATCACTCACTGTGCTTTACTGTGATCAAAACGTCCGCGTTCGTTGTCGGTGCAAACTTCGGCTCAAAATAATCATTTGTCGACTGATCTCGAAGAAGATTGCGCAGAAATTCGTTCAGGATTAACGTCTCTTTCTTTTTCTTACTTTTTATTTTCTCCTGGAAGAAAGAGAGAGAAAGTGAGAGAGAGAGGTACATACCTATATATGTAGTAGATGTACACGATAAGCGATTACCTCTCTCTCGGCAATTTTTTCCCTGCCTGTGTTTACCCTTCGTCTTTCCTATCCTTTTATTTCCTTTCTTTTAACCTCTTGATCGCTTTTTACCACTCATGCAACGCGTCCCGACGCCAATGGGTTTTCAAGCGATAGCTTTAGGCTTAGTACGCAAGACCGGGATATAAGCGCGGACCGTTCCAAGGTCGAGGCTTTAACTCGAGGCAAGCGAGGGTGTGTTTCGATTTTGTCTGGAAGACGTGCTCGAAGATTCCTCTTCTCTGAAAAAAAAGAAAAAAAAAAAATAAAAAACAGAAAAAAAATATCGTAGGGAAGAAAGAAACGGATACGCACGATACGTTTTCGTTGCTCGTGCGCTTCGCTCTTTACCTTGTATTTCCTGTTACACGCGTACATCGCTCGCCGGAAGTGCTTTCCTTCCGAACGAAACGATAAACGAAAGACGAGAAAGATTTAAATCGTTAGCCCGCATCGAAGACGCTCTGGTTGTTAACACGAAGCAATTCATTGTATATACTACCGATATTCATAGATTCGAAAACGAAACAGCCTTAAAGGACAATGAAAATCACCTTTGCGATCGAGAGTTATTTGATATCGATGTATCGTATTTATAGGTTAGGCGAGAGCTAGCCCGGACGGTGGATTTTTCTAAAAGGACCCCGGCAACGTGAAACATGCCTATTAAAAATGAACACCGTCACGGATTTTGCACGATATTCACCTGGCGGAAATGCATATTAAAGCTTGACAACCGGCCATCCCGTACCACATGTACCTACTATGTATCGTAACCGTATGCATCTTTTCGGCTTGTACGAACACGAAAATGTAGGACGCGCGGCGTTTCAACGATAGGCGACAAAAGACCTGCCGGGAAGAACGGTTCGATCGATCAAAAATGGAACGAGGAACGGTCGGTGAATCTTTGCGTTTTCACTCGCTCTAACATTTCCATCGCGTGTTTCCGTCGTCGTGTCCAAACGGTGAAGATGTGGCGCTGTAGTCGCGCGTAACGAATCGCAACGAAGCGGCGAAAATCAAGGGGGGATAAAGGAAAAGTATTGAAAACAAAAGAGAAAATATCGCGACTCTTTTCGCATGGAAACTTTGAACTTTTGTCTCGTACGTCGAAGGAAAATTCCGGTTCGCGATGCTCGAACGATTCCATTTATTCGATCGATCGTACCCGTTGAAAATACGCCGAAAAAGCGTATCCGACCGGTGTACACCAGCGACACCTCGTTGACACCGTGTTAAGTGCTTTTATTACGCGCCTGCGTCATAATGCGTATGTAATACGCGTATTATGATACGCCCTCGATACACTGTGGATAATATGTACATATATATATATACATACACGCGCGCATACATACAATGTATAATACACGGGACAATGTGTTGTATATCACGGTATATTTTAATATGCATATTGGCTGCTCGAAGAAAGTTGTTTGATCGAAGAAACGCGGTCGAAGCAACGGCATCGCATTTGTCGTCGATTCGATTCGTGTTCGCAGAGAAACGACAGGTTCGTCGGTCACGAATCTGTCGTGCGAATCGAAAAAAATCGTTGATCTCTAGTCTGTCCGAGTGCTTATGCCTGAATTATTCAAAAGCAAAGACGAATATATCATAAATCATTATCGGAAACGATCGAATAGTCGCAGGTTGAAGGGCAGCAGAAACGTTGTAAACGTTACCTTGATGTTTATACATTGTACCGTTCGATTTGAAATTTTAGCAAACGAGACTGCGAACGCGCCAACGAAAGCGGTAAATTTTAGAGGTTAGGTGGAAGCGGGAAAGAAGGGCGGAGGAGGTACGCGACGAAAGATGTTGCCGGGACTGTTATAACGATATTTATATATTTATATCTGTATATATATACACATACCGCGTGTATCTATATATATATACACGTATACATATATTCGTATATATTTATAAGTCATAAGCGTTTGCACGGTAATTAGGGAGTTAGCGAATTAATCTTCGAGGACGCAGATTTATCGAACTGATCAGCGCTGCGTGGTGGCTCCAAGTTCGTTGAACGCGGCTGCCTCGTTCCGTGACCTTCCCTCTTTCCGATCTCGCCATTCCGGTGAATCTCGATGCTTCCCTCTTTTTCCTCTCTTTCTCCTCTCTTTCTCCCTTTCGCTTGAACAGTCGTCATCGTTCGAAAAGTGAAACACGATTGGAATCTCGATCCGTCTTGCTCCGCTTCTAACGCGTCGCCGCCATTGTTATCGTTATCGCTGTCACTGTCATCGCAAGCGTAGTCATGGCAATCGTCTTGTCCTATCGTGACCTTGATTTCCACCTGAAATCTAGCATGGTTCCCGATCGTACAGACGAAAGAACGCGCGTCAGGTGAAAATTATTCGTTGAGCGATGATCCTCTCACGGAACACGCCCGCACTGCGCATGCTCGAAGCTAGAATAACGAAGTAATCGTTAAGCGAGTAGCGATAATCGATTTAAACCGTAATAATAGATAAGGGACGAGCGAGAACGAGAGTTTAATCGGGTTGGAAGTTGCGCGAAGACGAGACGAATGGAAAAAGAGGAAAGAAGCGGCGGGAAATAAGCGAAAAACGAAAATCGGTTAGATCGTAGATCCTTGATGTCTCCATTTTTTGTATCCTTTCTCCTTCTCTGTCTTGTCTCTTTGTTCTGTTCTTTTCTCCTTCTCCTTTTTATCTAGCAACGAGAACGATGCGTTTCGATGTGTATTTATTTTAACCAGCGTCTCTCTTCCGGAGGGAACGACCAATTGATCGTGCGCCGTAGCGTATCGTGACTTTTATTTCGCGTCCAACGAAGCGTGCATTTTTATTCGCTGTGAAACGCTGCCTTTCGCCGCCATCGTGTGTTTTATTGGCCCAACAGGCACGCGACGAGTTCGCCCCCGCGGATTGATTTTCGCACAACTGTTAAACAGAGCTTCGAGGTCCGGCGCGAAAATAAAGCGGAAAAGGGAGCAGAGAGGGGGATTGGCGAAAAGGAAACGAAACAAAATGAAAACGAAACGAAAACGAAACGAAAACACGAGAGGAAAAGAAAGAATCGGGAACTCTGACGACTTTCGCGATCTGTCGCGAAAATAAAGCGGAAAATGGAGTCGAGAGGAGGACTGGAGAAAAGGAAACGAAAACACGAGAGAAAAAGGAAGATTCGGGAACTCTGTCAATTTTCGCGATCAATCGTGCACCGTGTGTGCCCACTACCGAGTAAATCGTTTGCGAAAAAGCTTCCTGGACTGGGACCGTAGAATTTGAAGGACCACGCCACTGAGTTTTAATCTCCGCGCGCGCGCACATGGATGAAATCGGTGTCGATACCTATCTCGCCTCTTTTCCTCTGTTCTCTCTATTCCTATATTTCTTCTCTTCTTTTATTTTTGATTTCGTATCGAAAACGTTGTTCACAATGACGAGTCAGCCAGCGTGCGAAACGATCGTGTCACGGTCCGATAAAACACACGGTGTGCGGGAGGTAAGGTTGATAGTCGTACAAACGAGATTTCTGTGTCCGGAAAGGAAAGAGAATGCGAATGGACAGATAAAGATAAGAGAAACGGACGAAAATAAGCATGCTGCCTTTAGGATTTCGTAGCCACCGCGGGAAGACGGCCGGGAAATTGTATGAGAATGGACAATACTTGTACAAAATATGTATACACGTTACGCTCACGAACATACACACACGCGTATAAATTTCATCCCCCGATTTAACGATGTTCTTTTCGCACGCGTACGTCTCTGCACGCACTCTACCTTGTACCCGCGGTTCGTCTTCCGCAAGCGATGTATCGTTCGTTTCGCGGTAATGTATATTTCGTATTATCGTTTTTAGTCAACTTACTACCCGCTTAAGGCCTTTTCTATATTTTTTAATCGCAAACTCACCGCGGACACGCGAGTGAATTTCGTTGGATCACGCGCCGCTGCAACGCGAGAGAGGAAGGATGAAAATGAATGAAGGGACGAGTGTTCGCTAATGTATGTATGTATGTATACGTGTGTGTGTGCGTGTGCAGAGAGAAAGAAAAGGGAATAATAACGTCTTTCACGCGTAAGGATATTTTAGCCTGTCATCGTTCGCGCATCAATTGTACCATACAATCCCTCGATTCGTGCGTTTTCATCATGCGTTCACATTTTAAGTTTAATTCAACCGACTTCTAACGATATCTATGATCGTCATGTATTTGATTGTGTACCTCGATTTGTATATATATACATATATAAAGAAAGAAAAAAAGATAAAAAAAAACAAAAAAAAGAAAAAACAGAAGAAATAAGAAACGAATTGTCCCCGAGAATGGCGGGCGATTTTCAAACGAAAAGTGACTGACTTTAGTACCTTTGCGATACACGATACTCTTCGTTATCTCTATCAATTTTTCTTTTTTCTTTTTCTTCATTTCTCCGAGAGGAAAAATAGTCATTGAAAATTCGCGGATAAGTTGCAGCGGCAGTTCATAACCGTCGTCGCCCCCGTCGAATAACAGCACTCGTTACGATACGTTTTGTCTCTAGAGAGTGTACGTGTAACCACCTTTTGCTCGTTTCATTTCTCTTTCCTTCTGTCTCTCTCTCTCTGGCATACGATTAACCACGGTTAAGTTTCGTAAGATAAAACGTGATTTCTTAATGCGACAATGCAAACCTTTGATCTCTAACACGCGCGCATGCGACGCTATTATGGTACGCACCTGGTGCGCGCGTAATCATACGTGTAGGTAAAATACGTAAATTAGTAAACGAAATACGGAGACTCATACTCGTTGTTGCGTCCAGAATCCCCTATGGTTTTCCCCCCTTTCTTCGTGCTCGCCTGTTCATCGAGGACGAACGAACAGGGGTCGAACCACCGCGTCGTTGTACATCCTCCCACGGGGACATCTTATACATATATAAATATATATATATAAATATATATAAAGTATATATGAATGGTACGATTCGAGCGTTCACGATTATTCGACGTGCAAGTGATTTCAACACGTGGAATACCATCGACACGCGCATAGTTATAAAAGGACACAGAGTTGTCACCACGTTGTCGGAAAACCCCTGGAAATCTCCGATACACGAGCGTAATTGTAACACGTTCTCGTTACGTGTCACGAAAACGAGAAACCGATTTTTTAAAGAACTGCTCTGACTTGATTAATAAGAAACGAAATAAACGCTGCTTAAGACAGTTATCGGCTGTTGTGACTTCTTCCGACTCTATGTGTTCATCGTGAGAGACACTAGCGCCACAGTGCTCGCAAATACTCGTGTTTTAAGGTAAACGATGCCCTCTTCGTTTTTCCTCCTTCTCTTTTCTCGCGTGGCATTTTGTCAGGAATTTACCGATCTGCTTGTTCGCTGGGTAAGAAAAATCGGTTGGAACGAATTGGCCGAGTTTCACGGAGCGCATCGCGGTGCCCGTTGAATGAATAAAAAGCGGAAAAAAAGGAACGTAACGTGGAAGGCTCCATGACATCTGGAGAGGTAAACGCGGAGCCGGGCTCCATGCCAAAGCATTAAATCTTCGTGGTACGTCATTGACGGAAATTTCCGTCTGAAAATCGGTACGAGCCACTGGGATCACGGAACTCGAAGGTTATCGTTCGACTCTTTGCTCTAGCTTCGACCTAAGTGGATGTTATTCCACGTTTGCCATGGAAAAAGGGTAAAAACGACACAGCGAAGCGGGGAAAGATGGAAAAGGAGAGGAAATATGATAGAAAAGGTAGAGATAACTTGCTCGCTTTGAAATTATGCATTTGAAGGAGTCCCCGGTGCTTGAATAGCGTACGAATCATCGAGAGACCCTCGAGTTCGAATTGCATCGATGATTCCTCCACGTTGGTCTCTCGAATCCCCATCTCCTGGTTCTTTCCCGCTTCTGTGCTCACGAAGATAGGCTTCTATCGAGTTGGCTTCTCTACCCTTTCGAGTGCAAACAACTGGATGATAATTATGTCTGACGGAAATGCGAGCTACCTACCTGAATGTAAACACCGGCGAACAGGTACGTTTGTCACCTTATTGAATTCCTCGAATTTAGGTCGCTCTTTCAAACCACAAATTGTATTTTCATCTCACAGAAATGTCGTGCCAGAAACGGAATATCGTAGAAAGAAGTGTAAAAAGACTTTTTAGTAAAAAGATTCGCTGTCTTCTTTTGTTTCCGTTCTTCTTTTTAAATAAAAGATATTTTGGTTTAAGATTATAGCGAGAGATTCGGGTAGTCGATTTATCATTGCAGCTTTCATAGACAAATAGGAAGAAAAATTCGCGAATGTACGGAAACAATGAGGTATCGAATTTTTCCGGTCAGATCCAAGAGTTAATTAATCAGAATATCGGCAAGGGTGTCTTTTTACCTGCCTGACAGTGTTAGTTGCTGCTAAGCGAGTCGTTAATCACTGACACTCAACATAGGTCGACATCGATTTTCGTCCGCGCTTAAATGTGTCACTCGCAAAGAGTATTTTTATCCCAATAGTGCAATTTAGAGCAAAGTCGAAGAGCGAAAATGGTTGTATCCGCATTGTTTTGGTAAGAAATCCGTGAGACGGCATAGACGTGGAATAGATCGAATTGCAATTGTCTGACATTGACTTCATTTCCAAGTCGCTTTTATTTTTAATCTAACTATATACAGTGTACGAGAATGACGTCAAGCAGGCTAGGCGTGGATGATTCGCTCCCGTGTACTTCGACAAATCACCGGTGTACCGATGATCGATTGATCACCCTCTCGTTCTAATCTGGCCAATAATATTTCTCCTTGTATTCCTAGTGCAGCACACTGGGGCCGATGTGCCTAAATCATTTTTCAGCTGATATATGTACCTTATTTTTGTCTTTCATACATTTCAAATATCTATTTAAGTCGTTTCTGAGTTTCTCTTTATCAATTTTATTAATAGAAATCATCCATTTTATTGATAAATTGGTTTTTAAGTTGAAGATATGAAATTTTGCAAATCGTTTTTCAAACTCTTTTAATTTACTTAAGTTTACTTACGTCTTTGAGATTTTGTACATAACGATATTTCGATAAATGGTAATAAAGTACTCGACATTTACCTAAAGAAATATTGCAAAAAGAAATTTGAAACTTTGTTCGATTTAAGGATGTACTAGGTAGATTTCATTGTATTATTCACCGTTTAATTATATTAAACGTAGCATTTATAAGAGAGGATATTTTCACGTAATTTGGAATTCGATGCCTTCAAAGTCGTATAATGATATTAAAAATGGACAAATGTTAAAAAAAATGGTAGTATATCATGCCCCATAATCCTAATTAATTATTGGAAAATAAATTTTGTTTGAAATCAAACTTTCTGCCGCTTTTTGACAAATCGGCTCTATAATGCTATTTTTTGAAACAACAAGTTATTGTAATTTTTACTTTCACTGATATCTAACAAAAATTTCAGTGGTTAATGAAAAATTCAATCAAATCTTTATATTATATTTAGTTTTTCAAACCTTTTTATTTATATGAGCTCCTTTTTATCATTAAAGACTTTTATCTTGATTTTAATTTTATTAATTTTTTAAAGTTTTTGTCGTGGAGATTAAACACACTTCAATTTGTTATTTTCGTAATAGAAACGTATTTATATTTGCTTTTTAATAAATATAAGAGACATCGTTTAATATTCTACATTGACACTTTAGCATATGGTTATTTCAAATATGAAATATTTTCCCGCGACAACAATGCATAGTTTGTCCAGCAGCAGCAAACTTCTAGTCGCTACCGCCTTGAACCAACCGGTAACACATGATGGAATATTTTCGCGCGTCAAAGTGAAACTTTCAATACACACAAAACGTTTCGTGAAATAGTGTTATTGACTGATTGATGTTTTATTTGTTACAATCGACGCAGTGTATATTCGAAAACAATAATACGCAGTATAAGTTATTACGTCGTAACAGAACTGTAGGTTACGTTTGCAACATTTCCGTAATATTTACGAATGAGCCACAACACTAAATTCAGAAATTGAGATGATTACACCAAAATCAAGATATCTAATTGCTCAACATTTGCTTAATGATAATATTCTACATGTGGAACGAAGTGACGTTACATAGTGCATATACAAAATGATTCTGCGTAGTAATTTAATATTGATTATAGATTATAGATTTCGACTTTTAATTAAGATATTTAGTTAACATAGGTTTAAAACCGCAGATTTTGAATGATATTTCCAACTTTTATTCGAATATAAAGTGTCATGTGTAAAATAAAGTGACAAGTGTACAAATCGTGTAAACGTGTTACGTAGTTGTTTATTATCGATTGTACATCCTAAATTTCGGTTGTGGATTGAGATATTTACTTAGAATAGCTATCTGAGGACAGTTTTTTAATAGTTTCTCCAGCTTTTTTTTCCATTTTTATGTGCCATGTGCGAAATAAAGTGACGGGTATGCAAAACTCATAGTGATACTGCGCAGCCAGTGCCGGAGCATTGTTTTATTTACATATCATTCAAAGCTGCTGCTAGTTGCTACTAATTGTTTATGTAAAATAAAGAGGAGACTTCAAACTTCAAGATATCGTAAGAACGAACGCTGAGTAGTGCTGAATGTACAACGAAAAGGTATAATGAAAATTAAAAACATTCAAATCAGTATAATTACAAAATATTACAAAAAAAAATTTTAAACTTTGTTCAATTTAAGGATGTTCTACGTAGATTTCGTTATATCATTCACCGTTCAATTATAATGGACGTAGAATGATAGTTTCACCCAATTTTGAACTCCACTTCTTACTACGTATATGACATATATTCTGTTTTGCATTTTTTTTACTATAATTTTTTGATCTTTCAGGTAAAAAACAATTATTACGTGACAATAGTTCAAATGTTTATGATTTATCAAATACGTGTGTCAAATATACATATATACAATATGTACGAAATTTGAAATTAATAATAAATTTGCCTACTTGGTGGCGTACTAGTCAAGAACTATATATGTCGCGTTGTTGAATGCCTATGGCAGGCATATGCAAGAGAAGTGGTAAGAACCTGTAGTAACTCTGCATAAGTGTATGTTACAGGCCCGTATCTACATCTGTTTAAATATAGTTGCCCCTAGGTCAAAATATTTGATATTATATTTTTTCGCATTTATAGAATGTTTAGAAATGCGTTTTTGAGTGTTTCGTCTTATTTTACCGTATAAATAAATTTTGATATTCAAATAAGTTTTTATTTCTTGTTAATTATATAAGTAATTTTTTTATTCATTTTGAATTAGAAGTATTTTAGATTTAAAAATCATTTGTTTTAATATTTGTTTTTAAATATTATTGTTTAATGTAAGAAGTGTTAATAGAATGTTTAACGTATTATATTTTTTTTTTACATGTAGAATATTCATTAAACCGTTTTTTTAAACACTCTTATTACTTCTATGGGACATATGGTTTCTACCTACATATATACATAGTTTACCCCACTATAGGATTATTGTCAGTAGTGGGGCGTATTGCCTGTGAATTTAAGCTACTCTTGTCTGTTTCATAGTATATTTAAAAAATTTATTCATTTATTTATAAATTTTCAAAATTATGTTAAAGAAATAGAGAAAACAAAAGATAATAAAGTTTTTTCATGTATATACTTTTCTTAATAAAATTACGATATTTTACTAAATAAATTTGAAAAGACGCCATAATACTAGAATACCACCAACTGTTACAAATATAAAAGTTTGTTTTCAAGTTACGCTCAGCTCGTGTTTGAAATTTAACCGAAATTTTAATAGTAAAAATATTTTTATAATTTTGCAACTATCAAAACAAATTTTGCATAATTCAAAGTGAATTAGTTATTATTCTTTTTCTAAGGCACCTGAGTGCTAGTTACTTTTGAACCCTCTTTTAAATTTAAATTTTAACACTTGTTAAGAATGCAATGAGACAAATCATCTTCAAGGATTAGTATCGAAAAGTGCTAATATATAGTTGTTTTTCTTTTATTTTAGTATACATTTAGAATGAATTCTAAAACGGAAAGTATACATAATGTTAAAAATGATTAAAGTTACTATCTTTTTACTTCTTTCCATTTCTTCTGTATTTGCAATTGATGGAAGTGAAATATTGAAAGAATTAGGAGAAAAGTACTATCAAATTGTTAAAGGTACATACTTTCCGATCACAAAGAAAAATACATTAAACTTATAAGTGATTATAAACTATATTTTTATTTATAGCAAAGTTTTCTTTATCTCAGCATGGGATTTGTTGGCAAAATGCTGTTAAAACAATGAAAATTAGCTGTGATAAATTAAATGATCAAGAACATTCCCTTCTTGCTTTGAAGTTGACAAATTGCTTTTTGGAAGACTCTGGACACAGAACTTACGATTGTTACTCTATCAATTCAGAAAATCAACGCAGGTATTATATTTACTATGCTACTTTCTTTATATGTACCAACTTCATTAGATTTAATAATTATGTATTTATTGGTTTTGTAGTACTTGCATTAATAACATGTCTGACAGGGCATTCAGTGTATATAATGAATTTTATATACATACTACACATATGTGCTTTTATTTAAATTATGAAGCATGGCAAACTGAAACTGACAATACAATCAAACAGTAAGTTTTTTATATTTAATTATTGATATTTTTTGAAAGAATAAACATAATTTTCTTTTGTTATAGATTATATCAAGTTTCTTCTCGTATGAAAGAACAATTGCTAGAGGCATCAGAGATGCAAGAGACTATGCTTAGCAGTCAAAAACAAAGTTTACAAATGCAAAATAAACTTTTAAATCATGGAAAAGAGCTTGGTGATGTTCTAAAATCTTCTTCTGAAAATGTTGATAATCTGGTTAAAGATTTCAAGTAAGTGCATAAAATTCTTTTAAATGTGATATGAAACTTTTAATAAATTATTTCAAAAATATTATAATTAATTATAGGGAATCAGCAAAAGATCAAAAAGTATTATTGTTTCAAATATTTTCATATTTTCATTCTTTTCAAAATTGGATTGTTGGAGAAGTTTCTTGGTTTCAGTCTATTATTTATTATGTAACCAGTTGTATTCTGTGTGCTTTGTTTAGTTCTTGTAAAAAAACTGCAGATGCTAGAATCACTCTCTTCACAATCTTAAGTTTAAATGTAGTAGCAGAACGTATGTTAGTTCAATATTATGATAATATGGATCATTCTAGTGACAGTAAGGTAACATAGAATTAGGATTACAAAAGTAATATTAAATAATATTGAATTATGTTCAATTCAAGCTAATAAACCAACTTATGTTTTTAAACTTAGAACAATTTAGTGAGGACAACATGGATGTACAGAAAAATAGCACTTATTTTTTGTGCTATTACATTATTTTGTACTTATTATTATTATCGGGATGAACAAGTGGAAAATTATAATGCATTAAAACGTATTGAACATCAGTTAAACATCATACAAGAAGGCACATCTATTTCTACTATGCATCCAGTTTGTACGTATTATAATTTTTTCCAATTGGTATATATTGCAAAGAACTGATTAAAATTATGTTATTTATGTTTGTATATATATAGGTTATTCTACACGATTAAATTTGAAACGTTTACAAGCACAGGCAAAGAAACAAAATAATACAGATGTTCTTTCATAATATGAATTATAATGGTTTATTTTTGACACATTTGATAATAAAAATATTTTCTATATCATATTCTAACATATTTTATTTAAAATTATTAAACATTTGGATACATGTGTAACATATAGGAAATTTGTTTACTTGTAAAAACTTTAGAATCATGATGAGGAACAGTACGTTTCTGAAACTTCTTTAGTACAGCTGTATTTCTTAAATATTTTTCATAACATTTAGTTAAATTTTGTTCCAAATCTTTGCAGGCTTTACTTGCAAATTCATTGTCTTTCCAACATGCAAATACTAATGACATTTCGTATAAACATGAATCGGCTGAAATATGTGAAAGCATTATTTAAATACAAAAAAGACATTATGTTGAAAAATATGATATTTACACATATTCTTTTGTGTTTTTCCAAAAATGCTATCTTTTAAATGTAAAGGTCTTAATTCTTGAAATGGTACAAGCTCTTCCATTTGTGGAGCCCTTGCAGTATACTTTCGTTTAAAATATACCAAGTTCAATCTCATCTACAAATGAAAAGATTTGATAGTTAAGTTTAAGGTTAGGAAGTCTAAACATAAATTTTTTACAGAATTCATAAATTACTATTGATCTTAATTTATTCAGACCGTAAAATAATTACTAATAAATATTTTTTAATTAATTTATTCATTTCACTGGCAACATACCTTTAGCGATGTTTTTTTTTTTGAAGACAATGTTTCGAAGGTAACAGATGTCGCTATGGTCATAAAAAATGAACAGATATATTTAATGATCAAAAATTTAGAACAGTACAATAATTACATGGTACAGTTAACAATACAATAGATTTTATATAATTTTATATAATTACACTACAAATATGTTGTAAAATGTTTAGTTCTGTAATATCTAAAATATTGTTTTCTTATTGTATATTGTATTATTGTATTCCTATATTCTATCGATAATAAATTTATATATATTTAAGAAACGTCACATTCAGACAATATAATCATATTAAATTATTAAGAAATAATTATCAAGTTTATTTTCATGTTAAAATTTACTACTTATAATAAGAAAATATGAGTCATAGATACATATGTATACAGCAAGAGAAATGAAGAGTATCATAAGATTGGTGGACTAAAAGGAGGAGTAGCGGGGTAAAAAATGAGATCTTTACGAACAGGATTTTGAAATGCCAGATGTTCCGTTCACATGTGAACTACCACATTATGTTTTTCAATATAACCTTAACTTTGTAAGATGGTTACATAGGTATTTCAACAATAAACGATATATTATTGAAAATATACAACGAAACATTTGTGACGTTATATTATTTTTATTTTGTAATATTTTTCATATTTTTTAATTTCTACAATGGAGAAAGTAAGAAGTAAGTTTTTCATCAATCTACATATTGAATTATTAATTCTATATTGTTTCTAGCTAATATTTCTTCTAAGATATTACGATTTCAATTTTACTTAATTATGCATTTATTTTGGTTATATGTTCATGAACGTACATTTTAAATTCTTTTATAAGCTTTTGATCAACCAGTAATATTTTTCTTAAATTTTTTTTACTTCTGTTTTTCAAAATATATTTACATGGTGGGATCATACGACAGATTTTTACTTCTAAAGTATGACGTGATAAAAGATAATTGGAAAAAGATAGCAGTAGTAACTTGTTTTTCCTAGTACATTTATGAATAAATCATTTATGTTACAAATAATATTACAAAATACAAGAAAGTAACAAAAAGGAATTTACCGATTAATCCATGTGTTGTTAGCATTAAATATGTATTGGCACTAACCAATTGTTAATGTAAATATTTAAAACAAAATACGTCCTTTAAATATATTACACTTTACATTCATATAATATTCATGTCAAGTTATTGTAAAGCAAACTGGGAAGTAAATTTGTGATACGTATTTGTACAGCATTGACAATTATTTCATCAAATCATATAATTAAATATCGATACGAATTAATACGTTTATTTAAAAATCGTGTTAAGTGCATAAAAAGGGTATTATGTATTGGGGGAAATTTGGGGAAAAATTATTTAAGAAAAAGACGCCTGAATAAAAGTTTGAAAACTTGAAATAAAATAAAAATGTGTTATAGCAATGAGACTGTGTATATTGCGATCATATTCTACTACCATGTACGAATCGCGTGACCTATGTCACGTGTTACTGTTGATAAATGCGTGAAAAAACTTATCAGGTTATACATATTTTGATTAATATAAATTTGTGTAAAGCATTCCGTGTAGCAAATAATGTAGAATATATATTTTATCTTTCAATTTTTATAAAATGTATAAATAAAAGTTTGTAATATTATTATTTGACGTCTTGTCTTGTATTTTATCTATAAGATTATCATAAGATTATCACAGCAAACTAAGATTTTGTTAACTTACAAGCAACTTGCGATACCATATAATTTGTTTTACACAATGATAATAGGAAAAGCTGAAAATGGACAAATTTATATTACATTTTCGACCGACGTATTATAAAGTATTATTATAGCTTAGTTTCATATTCAAAGTTCTTTTGTTCCTCCTTTTTCATTCATGTTTCTTTAATCCGGATATTACGCATTTCATTCACTATTATGCTACTCTCATTGGAGGTTACACGCATATTCATATGCGTTAAGTGCATAAATGTATTCAGCTTTCATAAAATTAACAGAAATCAAAATTCTCATTTTCACTTTGATTAGAAGAAATCCAGATTACTTATCACTGTGTAATAAACGACGATCAAGTTCACATTATTGTTTTGATCCATTAGAATATTATCGATTATACGCAAATTGCATTTTTTAATTTAGAAATATCTATAAGAAATCAATTTATCAGAATCTCCTGACTTTACTCAAGGACCAATGTCGGACGACTGGCGTGCGATATAACTTATTACTGCAAAGTCATTGTCTCTTGCGAGATTCACACGTGGCCATTTTATGTATGTTCACACGCATGCATAATTATACACGCCCTCGTATTAAGGCAATGCCATGTAAGGTGTGCTGCTTGTAAATCTTTATAGATGCGTAAATGAATTCTTGTATTAAAACAGTATGCCCTGAACCCATATAGAAATACGTAACGAATAAAAAACAATTAAAATGATAAAAAAAAGTTATGTATTTAATTCGTTACAATAAACATTATATTAAAAGATATTAAAATTGCGATTAACTTAATATAACGAATATTCTTTACTTTATACCATTTTATTACAGATAAAAAATACTTCTATATTTGGTTCTCACTAGATAACTAGTTTCACCTAGTGCTACTCGTGTATCGTGTCCTTGACCATCGAGGCAATACGTCTCTACCTCTGTAACCCGTGCCTACTCCCGTAATAAGAGATACTCTCATAACTTTCAAATAACAAGTGTTCTTTATCGATCATAATTTAGTTTCTATCATGATTTCGTGACTGTGATACGAGTTTACAAAACTATAATTACAATATTATATTGGTTTTTATTTATTATGCATATATTTGATATTGCAAGTGAAAACATATAAAGAATGAAATTTTTGTCGTAACTACGCACTTTTTACAATTTCTTTACGCATAAAATACACGATACTTCTTCAAATAACTTCGTGACTTAAGAAAGATAAAGCAAAAGCATTAAGAGTGTATTTATAAAAAGAGTAATAGCAAAGAATGCTAAATGTTTTTTGTAATCATTTCTAAACCGAGCGTTATAGAAAGTCGAACAAGAAATAAATTTCGTAGCATGACAAATATTAATGCAAGACAATCGAATGTCGTAAGAAAATATAATAGATCAAGAAAAAAAAGAAAAAAATAAAGAAGAGAGAGAGAGACTTCGAAATAAATTTATTACTGAGTTCGACTGACGAATATCCTCGAGTCGTGTCCAGGTATGTTTGTATTTCGAAATCGTACTTCTTTCTGAGTCTGTGAAAGTGAAATACTAACCGCGCGATCGTCGCGATTAGTCGGTGTCTAACAGTTGAAGCGTTCGGTGTGTTTTGGACGTTCATTTTATTTTCTACAAGGTCAAGTTATCAAAAAAAATTTTGATTTTCGACGATAAACCTTATCAAGGGATCTTTTGCTACCATGACGAGTAAGTTACGTTAAAGTGTTTGCGATGACTAATTCCTGTTATGTATTACTTAGTTGACAGTGCATTTTTTTTTTGAAGGTGTATTGAAGCGTGAATAACAAAAACAAAATACAGCGCAAATAGAAAGTAACAAGAGTTGAAATTCGATCATGCCTGTAATTTCATTATTATCACGAAAAATTGATATTTGACAAAGCGAAAAGGAGAAAAATCTAATTTTCATCGATATTTTGTTAAATCGATATATTTTTATGCAACTATTTCGTGCAAAATCTCGAAGATATTGTCAATTAATACGATTTATTTGTCGACGCTGTTAGAAAAATGCTGTTATAAAATGCAAATCGCTTTTTAGCGAAATCTATGATCTTCCTTGACCGTCGTGCGAAGTATAATTTATGTACAGTCCATGCGACTTTTGAAATTTACGCACACGTTATCGAGTGTGATATTTTTTTCTCCTTTTCGCTTTTCTCTTTCTTGACATTTTGTTCGTTCCAATGGGATATTGCTCGAACAATATTTTACATTTTTACGTTCGTCAATGGTTTACGCGTCTTCGCATTATGCTTGATAAAAAGTTCAATGATACGGTCAGCTTTTTCTCGTTACGTAAGAATCATAGGAACTAGTTTGAATAATAAGCATATATTGTTAAATTCACGTATTCGGTATAAATTTGATATACATACTGAAACTGATGCTAGGTTCTCATTTAACGACACCATTTTTTCGTCCTTTTTTATTTAAATTCACGAATAAAAGAGAAACGAAATATTACGAAACAGAGAAAAAAATAAGCCGTGTTCCTTGATGTATATTTTTATTACTACCTTGTTTCTGTTACCTTCTGGTTCTTATATAATTAATAGTACGCCTGTGTACCGTTTAATATTTGACAATTGTATGAATTGTTGCAGAATTTTCATGGAAACTTAGAAATATCACGAAAGATTGTAGCTATATGTTTTTATCAAAGGAATAACGGAGATCTAAAATCTAAACGAAGAAGATAAGACAGCTGTTTTAATTTTAAATTAGCGAGATAAAAATTACAACAACGATAATATCAGTTCACCTTTGTTTGAGAATTCGGTTGCCTTTTATCTGTATTTTATTCTGCTCTATTCTCACTGTAGTATAATAACCATTGCTATATCTATGGCTCAATTAGTTCCATTACAGTCTTTGAGCCCGTGAGTACTTCAAATTCTATTCTATGTGACTTTAAAATGACCTTGACGCAGTCCAATTTTTTTTTACGTCTTTCAATATTTTCCTTTTCTTAACTTCTGCGTTATGTTATTCCTAATCCAAATGTTCGATATCTTGTATTCCTTCGCGAGTCAAATCGCATTTTACGTAGCTGCCCAATTGTATTCGTTTCTCTGATCTCGTGAAGTTAACTCTGAGATTTCGCCGAAGAAAATTTGTACACTCTTCGTGTAAATAGTAGTGGCAGTAGTAAGTAAGTAAATATACTCGAGTATATTTATTTTGTCCTAATAAAAATACTGCTACAACCGACTGTATCTAAACGTGGAAAGTTCAAATCAATTTCCACGCGTTCAACTCACCGATATTAATAGCTGTTCTTAAACCATTCCATCAGTAACATGAATGACTTTTCCTAATATGGTCTTTTGTGTTGCAGAAACGTCCACGGAAGAAAGCCTGCGTTTCATCAGGCAGTCCCTGAGGTCGGAGGAAATGGACCACCTCGAAGGAATCCATTTCGATGGATTATATCCTCACGTATTCATCACACTCGGGGCTTCTGTAAGCATGATATTTTTCTTTTTTCGATCTTCCTTCTTCTACCGGTAGATATAATGATCGAGAATGAAAGAATGCAGTAATTTAATCGGCAAATTTCACGCTAAACCTACAGGGCGACTTGGCGAAGAAAAAGATCTATCCAACGTTATGGTGGTTGTTCAGGGACAATCTTCTACCAAAGACTACCACGTTCTACGGTTACGCACGTACAAACATGACCGTGAATCAATTACGAGAAAAATGTCATTCGTATATGAAGGTGAAGCCAGACGAAGAAGAGAAGTATGAAGAGTTTTGGAAATTGAATCATTACCTGTCTGGTGCGTATGACACGCAAAAGGGGTTCCAAGTACTAGATAACGAACTAAGGAAACACGAGCAAGGCTACCAAATTACTCATAGATTGTTCTACTTGGCGTTACCGCCGACTGTCTTTGAAAGTACAACTGTACATATTAGGAACGTCTGTATGGGAGAAAAGTGTGTACCGTTGGCAGTGTTATGTATTTCGAGATTACCTTTAAATTTATAATTAATATATTTTTTATCTGTTTAAAGGGGATGGACCAGGGTAATTATAGAAAAACCATTCGGCCGCGATGCAGTCACATCGCAGCAATTGTCCGATCATCTGGCATCGTTATTCACGGAAGATCAGATTTACCGTATCGACCATTATCTAGGCAAAGAGATGGTTCAGAATTTAATGACTCTGCGGTTTGGTAATCGAATATTCGGTCCGACTTGGAATAGAGATAATGTAGCCTCGGTACAAATTACGTTTAAAGAACCATTTGGTACACAAGGAAGAGGCGGCTACTTTGACGAATTTGGTATCATTAGAGATGTCATGCAGAATCATTTATTACAAATCTTGTCATTGGTCGCGATGGAGAAGCCCGCATCTTGTCACCCGGATGACATACGAGACGAAAAGGTGAAAGTGCTGAAGTGCATAAAGCCTTTGGAACGGGAGAATGTTGTGTTAGGTCAGTATGTTGGAAATCCGGAATCTAATGATCCTGAGGCACGCCTTGGCTATTTGGATGATCCCACTGTGCCAAACGGTTCGAATACTCCCACATTCGCCCTTGCCGTATTAAGAATTAACAACGAACGATGGGATGGCGTTCCATTTATTCTCAGATGCGGAAAAGGTAAAATAGCGTAGATGTATTAATCAGTAATTCGTGATATACGATCAGTTTTATCGATATTAGAATATTCATGATTAGCATTAAACGAGCGGAAAGCAGAAGTTAGAATACAATATCAGGACGTGCCCGGTGATATATTCGATGGAAAAGCAAAGAGGAATGAATTGGTAATTAGAGTGCAACCCGGCGAAGCATTATACATTAAGATGATGACGAAATCTCCTGGTATTACGTTCGATATGGAGGAAACGGAACTAGATCTTACATATGGTTATAGGTATAAAGTAAGTTCAAGAACACGCCATTCACTCGCGTTGAAAGCATCTGTAGATTATACGAATGTTTCTGTTAATATATTTGTTTATCTAGAATCTGAAACTTCCGGACGCATACGAACGATTAATATTGGATGTATTTTGTGGCTCGCAAATGCATTTTGTACGTAACGACGAACTTTCGGAAGCGTGGAGGATTTTTACACCTTTGCTTCATCAAATAGAAAATGAGAAGATCAAACCAATTCTGTACAAGTAAGTCACGCTTTATAGAAATTGAGAATATTTTCATGTTTTATTTATTTTTTTATTAATAACGTATTGTTTAAAATTTAGATATGGTTCACGAGGACCTAAGGAAGCCGATGAAATGGCAAAGATTAATAACTTTGCCTATTACGGTTCGTATAAGTGGGTAAAACCATAATTAAAATTTTTCTAATATAATATTGTACAACGTATAGATATAGTATACAAATTTATGAATCAATGGAAAAATTTATGCCACAATTCATCATTTGTGATCGTAACATTTTATATATTTTACATCGAGGTGTGTATGGTATCTTCCGAAATTTTATACACATTGTAACTAATTTATGTATTTAATTTATTAAAAAGAGGAATTCATTTATTTTCCGAAACAGTTTCAAGTGTAAAATATGTTTTACTACTTGCTTAAAGTATATGCAAATGATGTAATATGTGTTTGAAAGACATCAAACATGGAGGAAATGTGCATATCTTAATATGCATATTAAAAGTATCTATGAATAAAATGTGATTGTTTCATTTTTAAATATGTATCGATTCAGGTAACATAATTTATAGTAGATATAAAATGTTTTATATATATTATACATATATTTTTATACAACAAATGTAATTTGTAGATAATTCTTTAAAAATTTTTCTAACAATTTAAAGATTACAACTTATATGTAGACTACAATTTTATTTACTTTTGACGATTTAAACATGACGCCAATCACATGAAATATCCTGTACAGTAAATGAAATAACATAAATTATGTGGTACTTTGCGCTGAAATTGTTTAAATATACATTACAATAAATAAATAAGAGAAAGTTGAATTATTCAGTCTATACTTTATATAATCTACATTTTAAATATTCACTTATTAAATGAAATAATGCTATGACAGAAGAGCACCATATGAGTGCTTCACAGAGTTTTGCATGATGAATTTATATACAACTGATTTTGCTATTCAGCTCTCTCTCTTTCTCTTCTATAAAGAGATCAACTACACGTAAACACACGAGTCAAACACGCATTACTGCCACATTTAATAAAGAATAAAACATATTTAATTTACGAAATTAGCAAATTTAGAAAAAAATGCAATTTAAATTAAATTAATACGTTATACACGTCAACAGTTACATACTTGTAAATATCATTGTAGACTATATCATGTTAAACATTACCATCATACAATGACAAGTCACAATGAAAGAGGGTACATATAAAAATGATATAAAATATGGGAACTTCAAATTGATATACAATTTGCAGGTTGTTACGTAATTAAAAATTAATTTACAGAAACTTAGATAATATGAATGCGAACAGTAAGAACCATATATTTGAATAAATTTATCCTAGTCCTTCATAATAACGCCAGAGACGATTATATATATTCACTTACAACTATAATAGTAGTAATAAAATATTGCTAGAAGCAATATACATTAAACGAATTAAATACACACAAACAAATGTAAAAAAGTTACACATTATCTCATAAACCATCATTTAAACGTCACTAGTCTTTTCGTTAAACGTTCGTTAGATTAGGACCATCCACTGTTCAATGTATACAAACCAAATACGAATTCAGTTTCCAATGCATCGATATGGCAATGTTTTTTTTGAACACTTCACAATAGTATATAATTTATAAAAACGTCAAAATTTGATCCAGGTCTATGAGTTGACGAAAATACGGTTTTAATGTATATATATGTATATATATATATTATATTACACTTATTAAAAATTTAAATTTCACACGCTTCAGGATCCAATAATTCGTCCCAATTAATACTCCTCTGAAATACTTCTTGCTGTAACCATAATTCATAGTGTTCTTTAAATTCGTCGCTTAATTCCACATTTAATCCAAGTACCGATGTAACAGAATTGTCAACAGGTTCCATATCTTTATCTTTAGGAATATTAGTATAGCGTAGATTATTGAATCGATCAACGCTAGAACGTAGTACGCACTCGTCTACTTGAAAATCCCAAGGGCGTGCTTCTAGATCTAATAAAAACAAATTATATTTATATTTAGTTTATAATGAATTCTATATTACATAAGAAATATTAAACGTCTTATGGGATATATTACCATTGCCGTAAGCCCAATCATCATTCAAACGATGTCGAACTTTTGCATAAATTGCACTGATTGTGTTCATATTAGTTTTACGCCATTGACGTCCTAAGTATCTGGTTTGCATTTTCAATAATTTTAAGACATATAATTGCATCATTGCATGTCTAACTTTTAATGTACGTTTCAATATGGGTGCCGACTTAAAGACGACTAACATCTGCAAAAATGGATAAAGTTAAAATATTCGTATCAAATAAATCTATTAGTTAAAAATAATACATACCATAATTCTACTATGCTTCCATTTCGTCAGTTTGTTAAGAATACGTAATAAATTAATACAAGAAAAGACATTTCTCCATAAATATGGCAGATCATTTCCAGTTTCAAGATTATCCAGAGTCATATCTGGTTGTTCTCCAATAACAGACATAGGAAAATCCAAGGCAGGAATACTGTAAAACAAGGTATATTTATAAAGTAAATTTATATTATTCATTAATTTGTTTTATAAATAGAATCTTACACGTTCTTAGCTTTAATGTAAGCTAAAATGTCTTGATTTAGAAATTTTAAAACAAGTGGTATGCAGTTTGCAAATACTAGATGTTGTGACATAAATTCAAATTGATAAATGTGGTTTAATTTAAAGTGTTTCAATAAAAGAAGTAATATAGCAGATACTGCTTTAACAATGATTTCTTTATGTCTGTTTACATCAATACCAAGTCTCATTGACTGAAAAACAGTCATGCTGTAAGAAAATAAAAATATATCATATTTTATAAAATATGCAGTAAAAATATTCAAAAAGACACATTACTTGTGTAAATTTATATACTTACGGCATTTGACCTGGTAAAACATCAGCCATGATATTAGTAGTGTCTGTTTTAGCTTTAGTAGTAGGAGCAGCTGCTAATAAAATCTTGAGTAATGCAATCATATATTGTGGAACAAATGGTAATATAGCATGATATACAATTTCTGTTGGCGTTTGACGAATTGGAAACCTTGGAGTACTTATAGGATTTCTTTGCATTTGTATCTCTTTTTCAACTTGCACATCAGCTAAAGATGTATACATATGCTAAAAATATATAAACGTATTTTAACTGTTCAAATTTTTACATGTAGTTCAAACGATTACATGATTGAAATACATCTACGCTGTATCACAGTCTAATTTACCTTTTTAAGTGTATTAATACTTTCAAGTATTGGTTGTGGTAAACCAGCTAAACTTTGTCTGTCTCCAACTAAGTTGTAACCAACAAATTTTAGTCTTGATATCTCAAGAAAAGTGTCCACATCCTTTTGTCTAACCTTTGGTGTCCATGGTAAACCTATAAAAAATATGTTACTTTGAATATGTATATTTTTTAATCGCTTTTCAAAACTGAAACGTAATAATGAAAATATTACTTTTTCCTTTTGTAAGTTGTGGAGTATCAGGTCTTATTTGTGGTTGATTATTTTCATTTTGACAATAAGTTTGCAAACCTGCTTGATTCATAAATACATTTACTTCTCCTTCACCTTCGTTATTCACAGTACTGTTTCCCATTTCTGTACCATCATATTCCACTTCCATACCTGGTTCATCCAATGAACTTTGTTTTATTAGAAACTGAAAAAACATCAATTATCAAATAATAAATACAAACTTTGAATAAAATTTTATATAAAAATATAGCATACTCGTCGATAAGATTTATGATTCTTTTTCTGATTTTGTGTTTCAATCAAATCTGTTGCAGTGGCAGGAGGAGTGCTAGCTCTCATAGTCTTAGCAACTTCTAAAGTATCTTCTTGTTGTGTATCAAGACCAGCTTCTTCACGATACTGTTTCTTTAATTCTCTTAATGTATTAATACCACCCAATGATACTAAGATTAACTTCCATATCAGCAAAAGAACTTTTTTCATTGGAAAATGTGGAGCAGATCCACTGCAGAAGTATGTTACCATACCAAGAAGTTTAACTATTAGCAATTCTTCACCATATGGATTTATTAAATCTTCTTTGAAAGATTCAACATTATTCTTATAAATACTGTGCTCTAAATTTTTCATTTCTTCCCTCATTACTTCTGTCATGATATATAGAACAGATAAAATTACTCTTAAATCAGTGGAATCGTCAAGACTGACAGATATTTTTCTCATTGCAGAAGCAGCTCTCCTACTATTTCTACAAATATAAGTGTATGAATTGTTAACATATTGTTCACAATAATGACAAGTGATAAAATTGTTAACTTATAACATTCTTTTTACAAGAAAGGATAAACATACGTAATTTCGATATTAAGAAGTTCAACAAATGCTGGGAAAACTCCAGCTTCATATAATAACATAACATTTGTTCTGGTCCATTCTCGTTGTTCTTCGTCAGATTGTACTTCAGCCCAACAACCTTGGGCCAAATACAGAATACTCCTAGCTGCCTTCATCCTCAATTGTTTGTTAGAAACTTCTAACTGATCTAATAATTTATAAATTACAGATTTTTGTTGAGCCTGTGATAAATGTTGCCACCATGGTCTTAATTTATATAAATGCATTTGCTCTTCAAATTCCTAGGAATAAATACATTTGGATCAATTTCCTTTAAGATATTATAGAAATGCCAATACTCACTGTAAGGTTATTGATTAACTCAGATTGCTCTGTGTAGCTGTATAACTCTGCAATTTCATTGGCATGTTTATCTGCATCATCATAAACAAAGTCCAAATCCTTAGATTTAGATGTTTCCTAAACATAAAAACAAAAAAGAAACATCTAAATATTGCTTTCTTAATGTTAGCACTTTTGTACTTTAATAAAATATCAATTATAAGTATTGTATGTACCATTTTATGTATATTAATTTCAACGAATATTATTCAGGAAAGGATATGAGACATTATTCACGTATGATGTGATTTGATAAACAGACTGTGACAATCCAGGCATTAAACAGTAGTATATTGTTTCTGTCAAAAAGGTTAGAGACAACTTGATCCACGCCGATTATCGTTATTTATTTTTGGCAGGATTTTCGCACTTAGTTGACAAAACATTTACTCACTTCAGTATTCGTAATTTGTTGCTGTAGGACTTTTCGGGGACGATCACAATGCCAATGTATAATCCCATCCATCGCTACGTCACCCATTTTCTAATAGTGATTGGAGATGCAGTATGTAATGCATCTCCGACTTAATTTATGAATCGATATTTTTTTTCGACTACTCGAATCGTCTGCGAATATTATTTTATCGATCGATGTGTTTTATTATCGATTTTTTTAATTAAAAAAAATCGATGTGTTATATTGCGTTTGATAGTGTTCAATAGTTTCCGCTGTATTCAAAATTTTAATAATGAATACTCAAAATTGAAGCAATATTCCTATATTTCACAAATCTATTACATGATCGTTGGCAACATTGAATATAAGATGATTGGTTCGCAACATCTTTTTAGAGATTTTCACAAGAATTTCTATAAATATTGGTATGTCATAGCTTCCATTTTGAAAAGCGAAGCTACTCGAAAAGCACGTTAAACTACTCTTCACAAACTTTCTGGTCAAACGCGTCTGCTTGTGCGTCCTTCTCGTGAATTTGTATTTTGTATTGACAATATTATAAAGGAGTACAGTGAATAATTGTATTAAAAAAATGCAAGGAACAATCATAGAAAATTTAAGTGGTAGAAAGCTTTCAGTACTCGTAATATTATTAATTATTGCACAAATAATTTGTTTTTTAATAGGCGGGCTTATTGGTAAGTAATGAAATGTCAAATATTTTGAGATTGTTAAAATATCGATTGTAATTGTATTATAATTTTTATTATACATATATTAAAAAATACGAAATTTAATGAAAATAAGTAATTATACATTAATTTTTTGTAATTATTATGAAAAATGATTTAAATTTGTTTATTGTTTGCAGTACAAATTATACTGAATTAAGCTACTGAATCGTTTGTTAATTGTTGTAATTACTAAAACTTATTATTGCAAGTAACTATATACTAATAATCCATCATATTCTATTTTAGCTCCAACTCCAGCCAGTAGTCAAAATATACTTGGTACACCTTGCAAAGATATTCGTGTAAATGGATCTGAACCAGGTGAAGGAAAGTGGTTTTATTCAAGAGGAAAAGGCTCTTGTATTCCTATTGACATGAATAGGTATAGCTTTGATAATCATCATCAGGCATATCAAGTTGTTTATACTTTCCAGGTAATATTTAAAGATTGTATTATTTATAAAAATATAATCATATTTAAAACCTTAAATATTTATTATCTATTTTATAGATGCCTGTACCTCGAAATAGTATGCAACTTGATTATTCTAGATGGCAACAAAATTTGATAGGTGTTTTGCAAGTGGATATTGCTTATCATAGTCAGATAGAAATTGGTGATCTATCAAAATATATATCTATATATATACATATTTTTATATGTAAAGTGTTATGTTGTAGTTATGTATATTAATTGTTTTCTTTCCTTTTTTTTTGTAGCTCCTAGAACCAAAATAACATTGGATGCAAGACTTGCTTACAGAAATAAGGGAGATCTAGATGATGATTGGAAACCATATGCTGCTTCTGTGGTAGAAAGAATTCTAGATTGTAGCATTGATAACGTAAATATATAAAATGGTCAATTAAATATGGTAAATGTATATTTATTTACAGTCTTTTTTTGTAGGCTATGGAGCAGTATATTTACAATTGTTTATAGACATATTAATCAAGGCTTAGGACATATAACTGATTTATGGCTTACAGTAAATATATAACATTTAAAGTACAATATTTGCATTATATAATATCAAGAAGTAAATTAAATTACCATCTTTGTATTTTAGGCTATTAATCAAAATGGTGGATTTACAAAAGTATGGGTCAGTTTAAAAACCATATATTTTCCAATTGTTCTCTGTGTTCTTACTTGGTACTGGAGACGAGTACATATGCTTTCTAGATCACCAGCACTTTTGGAGTACTTACTTCTAGCACTAGGCATAGCTTTGTCATTTTTAAACAGTAAGTTGTATATTTTTTATTCTTTATATGAAAATTGATTATGTATGTTTAAATGTAATTCTTTCAGTGCCTTTGGAATATTTAACACTTGCTTATGATATGCCATTTATGCTTTTATTGGGTGATATTAGACAAGGAGTATTCTATGCAATTCTTTTATCCTTTTGGCTTGTGTTTGCTGGAGAACATCTTATGGTAAGCATATCAAACTAATGTATGAAAATAATTTGTTCTTCATAAACTGATGAATTATTTCTTTTTATGCATCACCTTCTATCGCACAACAGATACAGGTAAAGTAGTTGCTTTTAATTTTTTTATATAATTATATTTGTACATCGTAAAAATATAATTTCTTTATTGCTCTTTAACTAGGAAGGTGAACAAAGAAATTCTTTAAAATGTTACTGGCGTCATCTTTCTGCAGTAGGCATTGGATGTCTATCATTATTCGTATTCGATATGTGCGAACGTGGAGTACAATTACGAAATCCATTCTACTCAATTTGGGTTACAGATCTTGGGACTAAATTTGCTGTATCCTTTTGCGTTGAAAACATTTATTTCTAATGTTGTAAAAATTTATATACCTTGATCTAAAACAAAATAGCTGTCATTCATAATCTTAGCCGGAATATCTGCTGGCATGTACTTAATATTCTTGGCTTACATGATATGGAAAGTATTTATGAATATTAGTGCAAAAAGAGCTGCATTACCTAGCATGAGTTCATCTCGACGTTTACACTATGAAGGTGTAGTATATCGATTTAAATTTTTGATGATCGCTACGCTACTATGTGCATCTTTAACGGTTGTTGGTTTTATTCTTGGCCAGGTATTCATTTAAATAAAGTATTTGTAAATATCGCGTTTTAAATGTTTTAAAAATCATAAAGAAGAGAAAATTAGTGTTGCGAAGATCTCTATTATTACATATGTAATTTAGGTTGCAGAAGGACAGTGGAAATGGGATGAAGAATTACATTTAGAAATGACATCAGCATTTTTTACTGGTGTATATGGAATGTGGAATATTTATATCATAGCATTATTATGCTTATATGCACCATCACATAAACAGTGGCCTATTGAACCATCCGGTATATTCTTTCTGTATATATTTCTATATTTCTTTGTTAATTGTTTATTATACTATACTTTCGAATTAGTCTGAATTTAATTTTCTTTCAGAGAATAGTATTAGTGAAGAAATTGAATTTTCACGTTTATCGACTGATCCTAATGAAATGTTGTCTTTGACAGCATTCGCACGAAAAGCAGCTGTAGAATAAGTAGTATACATTTTTTATAAGAAACAAAACAGTGGCCATTGACCAAGCAACAATTTTGTACTTAAAAATAGCATGGAAAGCTATAAATATGAATTAAGAATTTTCGATATTTATAGAGAATTCAAGTAATATATAAGATAATACAAGTAATCTCTTAATGCCAAAATTAATTATTTATTGAAAAGAATATTTTTTAGCTTTACTTTTTTTTAATACGTTTACTTAATATGTTATATACTTAACAATTTATTTAGTAGTTTTAAATAAAATGGATAGGGAGTCATTTTGTCTCAAGATTTGCCTCTTTATGTTCATGTTTACATAATATGTAGGTATTGTTATTTTATAAAACATTCCATTTTAAGTTTAAATATCTTTTTCTAAATAAGATTTATCATATGCAGCAAACATTAAATGATTATAATACTACTGCCATATTTATAGTAATAATCTTTAACGTACAGAACAATTTTGCAAAACCTATTTCTTTTTTACGATAAATAATCTATTCCGTCGTTTAATAGAACATATCAATATTGGGCATTTATTCGTAATTAATATTTGTAAACGTGAATCTTAATTATAGCTATATGATATTAACACAAGTATTATCATTATCTTCTGTTATTATTACTTAAAAAGAATTTGGCAGTGTTAAGTTCCTCGGTAAATTTTTAATATTATATATATATATATATTTCATACAAATTTTTACGGGCTCGGAAGCATTACTGATATAATTTCTGTTTTTATTTTAGAATTTAAGACGTATGCATGCAACAAAGTAGCCTAAACAGAAAAAGGGTGTAATAAATTTGTAACTCTTTAATAGAATGAATTTAGTGCACATTAGTTATATAGAGTACTTAAATTTGAGGCAACAGAATTAGTATTTTCAATATCTTCAATGTATTCAATGAAATGTATTAACAAACAATAACCTTGAAGAAGTTTTATATATTCGTAATTGTCTTATTTTAAAAATAATTTTAAGGATACAAAACGACTAAAATGTAACGTATTATTATCCTAAGAAACTCAAATTTTTGTGTGTTTATATTATTGAATTTTGGTACAGTATTCAATTTGAATATTTTTTTGTTGTATATTAGATAAAATTTTATATTCGTAACTTTTATACATTTTTTAAATAAATCAATTTGTTAGAATAATTTTAACGAATTATTAAATATTACAGTAATAATATATGCTATATATACATGTTAATTTTTTCATTATAGGTGCATCTTTTGTTTCAACGTTATTAAACGTCCGGGTAAAACGCGAATTGTGCGATATTCGACCTACCAAACAATTCAATTTCTTTTCAATCGTCCTTACAATTTATTCGTTTACAAGAGTAATTGCTGTATAATTGAATTTTTTTTTCATAATTTTATCAGTGCATACGCTCTACATTATAATACGTGTATAAAGGGTTAACTTCAAATGTCAAATTTCTTAAAATTTAAGAGATATTGGATTTTACACCCGTGATTCAAAAAGGTATTTATGTATCACTTATAAGTTATTTATACATTATTTATATCTTATCAGTTATATAAATATCATAATTATTATGATATATTTAAATTCAAATTCCACACGTACGTCATCTGTGCATACTATTTCACAGTGCTACCAAGAACTAGTGATTTTTTTAAGTACATAAGTAAATCTTTAATTAGACATTGAACAATTTATATTTAAATTTCACGAATAATCGTTTTCTATTTATTTTTCACGATACCGATTACGTTGGAAAAGACGTTTTTTAAGGTGATAAATTATTTATAACAAATACTTACGCACCTGAAGTTAAAAATAATATTTCTTATTTACAAAATACGATATCAATTTAATGTTGCATGTAAATGTACATTTTCTAACAAAATCAGTCATTTGCACAGACGAAGTATTCCGATGACGAAATAAAAAGGAGTAGTGCAGATATTCTTTAAAACTAAGTATATATCTTTTACGGATAATTAATGAGAAATATGCGTGGTAGCTATGGAATTTGAATTTTATGGTTGGCTAAAAAAAAAGAAATTAAAAATGATAGTAGTTTATCGTATTCGGTATAATTCTAGTGATATTAGTTGACCGAAATAACCACTGGTGATTCGTGGATCATAGCAGGGATTTTGTATCGTGCGCGCGCATCTACTGGCACAACGTGAGACAGAGGTAGCAGCAAGCAAGAGAGCAGTGCAGAAACGGAATCAGATGCGGTGAAGTCCGTGAGTTGACAGTGGGGTGCACGAGAACAGGCGTTTCGTAGTGGTGGAGGCGGAGGAGGTTTAGGGGAAAGAATTGTTTTCTGTGTGCGCGAGAAACGTGTCGACAGTACGAATCTCTGAACGGATCGTCGTTGGTGATGGTGAAATGATCCTCTAGCCCGAGGTTTTTGACTTGGTCCGCTTGGACAAAGAGGAAGACCTTTTGTATATCGCTGCTCTCCAAGGGATCGTACGCTCGTTCATCCGTAGAAAACATCATTAAACGCTGACGTCGCGGAATTGGTCCCGTGTCGTTTTCCTTCGTGGCGAGCGTCGAGCATCCAACGACTGACTAGCGACCATCACGCGCGCGTGTCTTTGTTTTTTTCTCGGTGCTGAATAACTGTACGGGAAAACAGAGAGTGTGTTATATCACAGTGGTGAAAGACCAATTCTTTCGTGGGTTCTGCTGTGGTAAATAATCCGTAGTAGTCAGAGGCCCTTCCTAAACGACAATCGAGCTCAGCTGATTCAAGGACTTGCTGCGAAGGGCTCTGCTGCGTTAATAGACGATAAATATGTCGTCCCCCAGCGCTGGAAAACGACGTATGGACACGGACGTTCTCAAATTGTATCCTTGAAATTCACTTTTATTTCTCCTACTTGCTATTTGTATCTCTGTCTTCCTTTTTCTTCTTCTCCTCCCCACCTCTTTTCCTCCTTCTCTCCCTCCCCCCTCCCCTCCTTCTCTTGTTCTCGTTCTTTCTTTCTCTTTCGCTCTATCGCACGTGCTTGCAATCGAGTGCAAGAGAGGCCTGCACATGGTTGCGAATGCAAGACTACGCAGTATGCATGTGCATGTTACGGCGGGATCGCTTGTTTATCAGGTACGATCAGTTTATAGGTCGACGAGAAACAACGCGGTGCAATGTCAATGGTGTTTCCGGACGATGAGGGATATTTAATTCCTCGTTTCGTCGATGACGGAACACAGCTGTTTTTAACCAGCTGACTTTACGTCTCCGTGCCCGTGTGTGCGCAGCTTTATCTTATTCGTTTAACGCACAACGAGTGTGGTGCCGTACGGTTGCGAGTTCTAGAGGTTAGATTTCATTTCGGTTTCTTCTCTTTTTTTTCTCTTTCTTCCTGCGTTTCGTTCTTTCTTGCACAGTGGCTTTTGTTACACGAGTTTTCGATTTCGGATCGACTGATTTCTGTGACGACTCGTATTTCGAGTACCTTTTATATTTATACATTCCTTGGCGAGCGTAAATATTTAAAGTCGCGCGTCAAAGAACGGCGTACGTGTATATAACGTCGGTTTGAAACGGAGTGAAGCGCGACCAACGGTAATTGAGACGTCACCGCCGTGTTCCAACCTTAACCAAACGGTTCGAGGAATGACGCAAGGTGTCAAATTTTCTGCAAATCAACGGGAAGAAAGTGAAACGATGCAGAAGGGCAAGGGAAAGTGGACGAGCAATAATTGTGCGATTATAATAACCTTCGGCCGCTTTTTTTTTTCTTTTCTTTTCGCAAAACCTTATCACCGATAAATCGCGTGACAATGATGACTAATAATTTCTCTTCCCCTTGACTACGGCGACCATCTGAGTCAGGTGCAAAGAACAAAGGTACACCTTGGCGCAGGAACGCGAGGAAGCGGATAGCGTTTTTCATCGTCTCTAATCGTCGTGCAAACAAATCGATCGTTGGAATATTATCAATGCGACGAAAATGAATTCGTTATTTCCAACCTCGACTTTCGTTCGATCCCTCGCGTTACGAATCAATATTGGCGCGAATAATTAACGGAAAAGGAAAAAGCTAACGAGTATACGTGTGCACGTTTGTATTTGACCTCGATTCGTAAGAAATTGATTTTTGCGTAACGTCGCGTTTCGCTTATCATTTCTGTGCAGACGTTCGTGTACGAATGCGTCAGTTTTTCTAGAACGATGATAGTATACGGAGTTCTTTCGTGCCTCGTAACATCGATCAGTCTTTGTTGAAGCTTACATTAAATTTGCAAGCGCTCCGGCGAGCAAAGTGAATTGGACGTGTTCGTTCGTTCCCCGATAGAGACCCCTCGTGAGTTTTCAAATTTCTAGAAAGCCTTTCTCCGCATTTCGCGTATACGTGTACCAACGTTAGTAATAATCTATTTTCAGAGAGGCAGACGCCTCTGCATACTTGATCCCTGCGAATTTGCAATCCACGCCGCTTATTCTTCCGTTTGAAGGGGGGTGGAGCGAAATTTCGCGTTCGGCATATTTTTCGTATATGTTTCTCGTGCATATTTCTCGTGCTCGACTTTTCCACTCGAATTTACCTTTATTCTCACTCGAATTCTCTTTCTCGCGTCTCATAAATCTCTACGCAGTTGCTCTTCTCTCTTTTCCTCATTTTCCTGCTTTATTTTGAGGTTATGTCGTCGAGCTTCACCGAACCCGAAGATAATTCGGAAACAAAGACGAAACCGCGGTGTTGCTAGAACCTAGACTATGGGGATAGAAGCTACAGAGAACCATACGGTTGTTTACTCGAAAAGGAAAAATAAAAAAAGGGAAGAAAGGATATCATTTGTTTTCGTAATAACGAAAACAGCGGAAGATCCCAGCGGAGCTAAAGAAATCGATGCAAGTTTGCCACGCCGGCGAATTTAAATTCTCGTTTTTCAAATTCAACTGAATTTATCCCGCGATTCACTCGGATAAATAAAGTTAGATAAATATTTCCGTTTTAATAACGGTGAAAGCTGCCCATACGTGCTGCTATAGAATTCGTATTAGCGAGTTCGCAATAAATAATCCGACGGTTTTCTCCCTCACTTCTTCCCCCCCCTCTCTCGCGTTTAACTCGATTCCAAAAATAATAACAATAATAAAGAAAGAAAGAAAAAATGACAAGACAAAGGGGAAAAAAGAAAAGAAAAAGAGGAAGAAGAAAACAAATATTTTTCGCGGAGAACTTTCGTTACTTCGTTTAATTTGGTTCCAAAAATAATAACAATAACAAAAAAAGGAAAAAAAGATAAGACAAAGAAAGAAAAACAAAAGAGAGAAAGAAGAAAAGAAATATTTTTCGTAGAGAACGTTCGTTCCTTTCCGACGATCACGGTGTACCGGAATTGGTCGAAAACCATACCCAATAGCAGTTGTTTCACGAAATGAAGCGAATGTGGAAGGAACCGATGCGTTTCGCGTATAAACCCCTGACTCTTTGTTTCCAATTCTTTGTCTTCCTTCATACTCGATTTTGCGGACAGCCGCGTCTCCTAAATTTACTCTGTATTCGCTCCCACGCTCGAATCATCCGAATTTCGAAGCGCCATCTTTGATTTTCCCGCCGATTTGTCTCCGCGCGATCAATTTCGCCTGGGTCCATCCGGGACATCCCCTAGGTCCGTGGTGCATGAAAGTAGGGTTAGGGCGGTGGGATATTTGATCAAACTTGTAGGAAATTTTCTGTACACGATGCAAAACCCAGTAGAATGAGTAGAAGTCGACTCTCGTGGTGGAATGGAATTTTTGATCGAAATAACTCGAATCTATTTGCGCGTACTTTGCTCCTCGGGCCAGTTTCTTTTCGTATTCCAACGGAAACGCAGGAATCCGTGTTTAGAGATTTTGATTAGGGTACACTGGCAAAACGAACTTAATTAACGCGTCAAACGTTCTGTTACGCCGTTAATTTCCAGATAGTAGTCAATTTATCCGCGATCCGGGTTTCCTCAGTTACGCGAGCCCGTTACGACTTTATCATTTCACGGTCGTAAGAAGCAGAGTGGTAGATTTCCGGTGGGAAAGTACCAGTCTGTACAGCGAGATCTCTCGAAACGGTAACGTTTCGATCACCTTCGAAGGATAGAAATATTCGATGGAACATTAACTGGAAAAGTTCACGCGTGCACAGCCGGTCTTGTTTGGTATCTCGATATCTCCCGCTGCGGGATCTTTTGTAATTTTCCGTGGACATCGGTGGAATTATCGTGGAATCCCGTGTAATAGCCGGCGTATAGCGTTGTTGACACGAATTCAACCGCATTAAAAATATCGTTTAAAGTGTCGTAAAACGTATCTATTAGAGCGTTCATCGTATGATCGCGAAGGCTCACCTTGGACGCCCACATGACACGAATGACAAGGTTTGCTTCCTCTTCTAGAATTGCAACCGCATATTTATACACACCTTCGACCGTTCTGACGTTCTTCTTATCATACGGTGTATTCTTGGCCGAATATCTGTGAAACAATAAATTCATAGCCTCGCAATCCCTCTTCATCGGGCTCTATTAACCCCTTGCACTACGATTTAATTATCAAGTAAATAGTGCACTGGAGAGACGTTTAATTTTAACTAACCGCGTTACATTTATTTCATCGAGCATCAAATTATGAAACTCCTTAGAATCTATATGGATTTTCTTGTAACAATACCTCTTTATACACTTCGATGTGAAAAACTCACGGAGAGCTAGGCTCCTCATTACAATACAAGGGGTTAACACCAGAAGTACCGACTTACGACTAAGTACATTACGTTCTTCTCTGAATAAAATAAAAATCATCGTTAATTTCGCAAAAAGCAACTGTATATTCCATCTTCGACTCTTCTCATAGATCCACTGTTAATTCGTTGGTCGAGAAATAGGAAAGGGAGACAAAATTTGTATCAGGCTGATGGTTCTTTCTTTTTTTCTTTGTTTAGTTCGTTTCCAAAATAAAGGGATACAGCAGTGTTTCAATTTCGTCGCCGTTCCTCTGTAATCGAATACTCCGTCTCCTTCGGACTCTATCTCGTTCAATTTTCCCGCCGCGCGGTATGACGCGTGTTTAAACACCGTTTTCAAAGCACGCCGCTTGCCTGTCATCGTGGCCGAACAAATCGCACGGACGTGCGACACAGAGGCGAATACGATATAAAGAATTCAATACGATCGCATAGCCGGGTCTAATCACCATGACGCAACGCTACCGCCACTTTCCATCGGTCCCGCACGTTGCATCTCCGATTCGACGATGCATCGGGCGCGTCCGTTGGACTCGCGTTACGCGCGTCCTCTGACGGCCGTGCGTTTGAACGAGAATTCGAACGATCGACCGCGGAACCGCGTAGAAAGGGGTATCGAGTCTCTCAAAGGGCGAAAGTTCGGTAAAATAAATTGCGTTTTCGAGTCGGGTGCCGTGCCGTTTCGCAGCTAACGATATAGTTGCGGTAAATTGCGTCCGTGGAAGCTGTGTATTCCCGTAATTTCCATTAGGCGGCCCTCTAACGGTGTGGCCAGGTGAGATACACGCAGATGCGGTTCCGGAAGTGATTCAATTATGGATCGACGATACTCGATGGACCTCTCGCAAGATTCCTTGTCTGTCCGCCGAAATCAAGCTAATCAATTACGCCGGTAATTAACAAGCTTCTCGGTATGGACGGTTAATGGTTCACCGTAATGGGTTTGGAGGCACGCGAGCACACGTGAGAAGTACAGCGGGGCCGTTATCTGCCTGATGCAATTTTACCTGGGACGCGTATCGATGCGTGTATGTGTCCTCGAGTATACGGGCTTCGCGAACCGGCGAACCGGGGGGTGGGAGGAGGGGGTTCTCCCTTCCTGTATTCGTTGTTGAAAGCTTCAATTATCGTTCTCTAAATACCGGAGATCGGAGTTAATCAATATCTGGGATATTTGTTCGGGGATCGATTCGATTGGTATGGAGAAATGAAAAAAATTTGATTTACAAATGCACACAGAGCGACGTCTGGGAATAGGGAGATGGCTCGATAGCGGAGGGAATCGAGTTTTTTTGAAAAATCTGTCCTTGCACGGCTTTTGGAAATTTTGTTTTATCAGCTGGTATTCGTCGAATATTTTTTCACCCAAGACGGTTCGATCGTGGATTTGCGAGAGTGGTTGCAAATTCATTCTGAAGTACCGAGGGAATTCCTTTGGAAAAATGTAGAGTATTTCTGGGGATTTCGTTTCGACGGTTGATTTTCTTCGAATATTTTTTTTGCACCCGAAATTGATTCGACGTAGCAGGTTTATTCGATCGTGATTAACACAGATCGAATTTCGATGCGCTGCCAAACGCGAAAAACGAAGTACACCGAGTTCATCTCGTGTCTCAATGCTTGACCTTGTTTACGGCCAGGATTACATAGACCTTTTCGCTATCGATGTGGCCTTTCAGTGTGCGCACTGTTGTTTCGAATGTATATCGAAGCATTCGCCTTCTAACGCTCGATGCCGCCTTATGGTTGTCATTTTTACCGTTAGAAAATGCGTGGTAATTATCTACGCGTCCATAACGCATCTTTCGTCGTTCAGCGATTTATTGCATTTCGAGAAATGTCGCCCCTTTATGCCCTTCGTTGTACGTCCCTGACTATATCTCGACTGCGAACTATATATCGAATTTTTCTTGCCTCGAAGATACGAGAAAATGTCACATAACGAATATCGAAGAGATTAAAAAATATTGCGCGCAATTATACTTTCTTTTTTGTAGTTATAGTTTTATATCTCCGTATTGTGTTTGCGAACAAGTCAAAAATAAGATTAGAATTATATAAACGCGCCATAGGGATTTGGAGTAGGGAACGGCGGTGGGGGTAAGCTCGGCTCAGTGGTGGGGTGACGGGAGGGGGTAGACTTCGGTAACGAAAGATTCGATGCTCAGAAAGTATCGAATAAGAAGGAAAGAAAAGAGGTGTACGATATAAGGTTACGTTCGGCGAATCGCGTTCGCGGTTTTTACGCATGAATATTTTCGATCGGACGCACGCGCAGTATCGACGTGAAACTCGGCTTGGTCACCGTATCTCGTTTCGTACTTATCGAACATCGACGATAAGCGGCCACCTAGAAACGTGTCTTCCAAAAATAAGATACAGCCAAGGGCATTGCGCGCCGAGTCTTTTAAAATGAACGTGTGTATGTGTCTTCGGCGTAGATAGACCGATAAAAACGAATGTTGATTCGCACGTGCAGTTTATTTCGATACGCAGCCGCGTGTAGCTTTCCGCGTGTACAGGCGTGAGAGGTTAGTGGTTCCTTGGTTGGACGGAGTGGCGCGAGCGAGCGATTAAGTATAGAAGAGGATGGAGAATGGACGGTGAATCGTGAAAACAAAGACGGACTGTGAAAGGTGAAGCGAAGTTAGGTTAGGAAAGGAGCAGAGGGACAAAAACAGACTGTCAGGCGGTTCTTAGCGAAACGCTGGCTGGTTCGGCCGACATTGTAAACAACAACATCGCGCCAGAAGCAAATGCTCCGTAACGGTCCTCGAGATTGAGCAATCGTTTCCGTCCCTTTCCGACGTTCATCGTACACCTTGCATATGCAAGTCGACTGCACGAAGAGTCGGTGGAATTCAGGTCATTAAAACATCTCAATAATCTACTTCTAATATTTCTTTTTGTGTGATATTTCGATACGTTTCTTTCCGACCACGGTTTATCTTCGATTCATTCGAATACTGATTAAAACGATCGGTTTAAAGCGAACTCGATTCAACGGTCGATTTCCATTTTCTCCTTTTATCGAAACCTATTTCTCGCAGATAACCTACCGTGTCGATAATGTCAATCTTATCGATTGATATTAATTCGAGTTTACCGATCGTCGAGTAATCGAATCAGTCGTTGAAATATCGCGTTGTGCAACTGTTTAGAGTAATCGTATGAATCGTGGAATTCTTCTCAGTCCGATAATGCATTCCGTGTCAATTTGTATGTTAATCGAGGATCGTTCGTTTGGACTTCCGCGAGTCGCTCGTGAAAGCATGCAACAATGAAATTCCTCGTACATAGGATGCGAAGAAACGCAATACTTCCGGCGGAATAATATGTTCGTCGGCCGATATTGCTTTCGCAATTACTGTGTGGCCTGTGAAGAAAATTATTTCAGCTGACCGTGTATCGCGTAACGCGCGAAGCACGCGCTAGGTTAGATTCTATTTCCCTGCGTGCCCGAGGCGTGTGCGTTTGCTCGTGGCGTTAGCGTAGCGCCGTATATCTCTGGTTTACGTGTAGCCAGCGCCATTGCTGCGAGAAACAAATCTACCGATAGTGACCAGGCCCGAGCGTATTCATGGTTACCTGGTCTTCCGTGTAACAAAGCACTCGTTGCTGCCTCAGGTGAGAGTTCCGTAACGTTTGGCTCGCGTGTAACCACTTGCCAAAACAAGAAAGTGGTTTACCGTACGTTGAATAACATGACACACATCGTCGTAATTCGATTTTCCTTTTCAACGATCGAGTCGGTTCGCGATTCTGCGTGGACGAAAAATGGCGCCAAATGATAAAAGTGTTCGATAAAATTGCAAAGCTATACGGCAGCCATTTTTAGAGCGTGTTAGCTATACATCGTCTGGAGTAGCGTTCGTTCGGCGAAAATTCAATTTCTTGGTTAGATTTTAGATTAGAAATTTATTTCTCGTTCTCTTTTTTCTTTTTCAGATAATCATCGAATACACGGAGAGGTTATGTCCCTGTTTAATCTTCCGTTTTCGTGCACCGATTTTAGTCGAGTCCTAATGCGTGTGCCTTGCGAAATATTGTTCAGTGAACTTTCTCCAAAGCCAGGCGGTTAGAGTTCCGTTCTTCTGCCTCCGTTCTGGTTACATTGCTTGTTTTCGAACTCGGTTTCCGACCTCGTTCAGCGATGCGCGCCTGCGATTCTTCCGCGGCAGTTTGTGTTCTCGCGAATTATATCGCCGTGGATCGGGATTAATTTCACGTGAAAATCCTGGCGATGATTGTACGCGACGTTGAAGCGGCGTCGCCACGGTCGCGGAGTATCGGGGCAAATAAGAGGGACCGGCGATTAAAATTAAATGTAGCTTGAAATCCTACGGCGCGTGCTCGATAATTTCAGCAACCGTCGTTTGCTGTATTATTAAATGCGGCTGGAAACTTTTGTTTCCCTTTCTTCCGCCCACTCTTTCGGCTGTTACCATTTTTCCACGCTGAAATTGCACGTGGATCTGAAAAGAGTTGCTCCGTTGAGTGTACAAATCGCGGGCCACGTAAAGTATCTCATCTGTATTCGCGACAAAAGTTTCTCTTTCCACTTCGTGCTTGATCTCTCAAATAATAACCTAACCTCGAAGTAATACGAGTAAAAGAATATTTCGGCGTACCATTCTTACATCGAACTTCCAAAGCTATCTAAAAGTTACGTTTATTACCGAGACAGAAAATCGAGAAAAATTTCTTCGACAGTACCATCATTGGTAAATACCAATCATCAAATTGAACATAACCCGCGTTAACGCTACAACCACCAACCTATTCAAAATGGCTGCTTTCAGATTTTCATTTCTCTCAATTCCTACGAACATAACCTTACTTTTACCTAGATAAAAGCATAGTTATTTATACTATCTATCTTCGTTGCATAATTTGCAACTTCGATCGTTGTATCTACATCTTACAGACTCCTAGTTCTAGTGTTAAGATATCAACAGATTACAAGATGAAAATACCCCTTTATTAAAGCATCCTGGGCGTGAAAAAATTCTTCATTACCGCGCAACCGATTTAAAATCCGTAACATTGTCGACCCAGGTCTTTTCCTATTCTTTTTTCCCTTTTTCTCTTTTTTTTCGGAAATTCGTAATCCCGGTTGCGTCAGGAACTCACGCGAAGCGTTGCGATCCGCTCGGCTCGGCGTCACGCGAGCTTCGGTGCGTTTCATCGATTGAGGAAGATAACATTACGCCGGACTTCTGACACGCTTCTGCGTTCGCACTTCTTTCCACATCGATTTCCCTCAGTTCATTGCACCGTTTTCTCGTCGACGCTTAAGTATTTGCTCACGGTGTTTTCGCTTCTTATTTGCACGACCTCGCGCGGCCTTTTCGATCGGGCTATCTCCCAATGTTTCACGGACGCCGGGTAGAATTTTCTTACAGGTCCATCTTCTTCCTTAACTCATTTCAATTGCGTTGCCCACGTGCAGAATAGAAAGCAAGCATGAGGTGACGATACTAGGAGGATTAAACGAATTTTCCGTCAAATTCTACGGTCCACGGGGCAGTAAGTATTGCATTTATTTCGTATCGCTTGTACGACCGTATATACCATGTGTCTGTTTTATCTGGAACGTGTAAATACGCAGGTGACGCAGAAAAAGGAAATATTTTGGACGAATGTCATAGGGCGTCGAGGAGAACACGCGTGCCGACGATTCTGTGACTGTGAAGGAAAAACACTGTTACAATTCCACGAAGCCCCAATTTACTCGTTAATTCGGTTACCAGATATATAAGTCAGGATCAGAAAAAGAAAACGAATATAAAGAAATTGTTGTTCGCAACTTTAAACCGTGTTTTTCTCGCAATCACAGAATTACGAAAGTGGACTGAGACAAAAATTCGTCATAGCGAAATAAGAAAATATGAAACGATTTTTGGCAAAGTAGCGAGAAATTGAACGGTTAGGTGAAATTCTTAACTTCGTCGCAATTAGTTTCGTTAATTTCTGATAAATTTAAACCGGACTTTTAACGCTTCGAAATGAAGCATAAATGACTTAGGCTACTTTCGTGATCACTGACACGTATCGCGGTGATAATTGCCCGATCCTGCGATAGCTTTGAAAGCTTTTCCGATGGTCATGCTTAATTTTTTAATAGGAATACTCTTTATAATAGCTTCTTGCACAACTTTATCGGCTCTGAATCATTCTCGAGTAGTTTCTTGTGTCTTTTACGCGAACTATCGAGATTTCAACTTTTACACTCCGTTTTTCCTAGATCCATCAATACAAAGTCCAACAGAGCAACGTATTCGTGATGTGCATTAGGTGACGCCAATGTTGGTGACACGTTAACTTTGAAACTATATATCTCGATGACTATTAAATGCGATAGGACACGAGTACATAGGTTTTCCTAAATATTTCTTTGTCAAGATGTAGTCCGATATCGAGACGAGGTACTTGGGTTCTGTTTTAAAATTGAAGCATGATCTCCACGCCATTGCATCCGGAATTTCTTTGGTATCCTGTAATATTTCTGAAACGAAACGTGTTTCCCCGAGATATTTACATACTTCCGGATAAAACGGACACGCTGTATTTATCCTTAGACTGTAAGTTTGCGATCGTTTATGTTAAGACACGAAAGTGGCATAATAAAAGCAACGTCGTTGGATGTTTGTTAAACGATTTCGAAGCTCGGTATCTTATTGTATTAATCCTCGTGGTCGAAGGCCGACGAGGAAGGCTACCGAGCGTTTTTCCCTCACTGCGACATTTTTATCGAGCAACGAGATAATAAAGATTAAGTAACAGGAAGTGTAACAGGATTTTCACTGAAGAACACGTTTTCCCTGGGTTAAAAGAGTCGGACAATCTAGCCTTCCTTTTCCACGCCTTTCTGTATCCGATATTAGAACAAATCTCTAGTCTTCGAGCTTTGGTTCGGATTAACCCTTTGCACTCGAGGGGCGCCTCTCAGTCATCATTTAATCAGATTCTAACGATGGATGTTAATTAATAAATCAAATTCACAATTATTCAACGATGCTTGGAATATCGGAATAAAATAATTCTACGTCTTAATTTGCATATGATTTCTTATTTACCGTTTTAGAAATATCGTCGACTTTATGGCAGAAAGTCTTCGAATTACTATTTTCCTGTAACGAAAAGATGGCCGAGTTCAAAGGGTTAATAGCGAAGAAAACGAAGCTTTTATTCATTGATGTCAACTCGAGTCTAAATTAAAAATTGAAAAATCCTGTTGCGCCTCCTTCGATCTCGTACATTGATCATTACCAAGAATAATTATTTATTTAACACTTAGAGCAATTTGAAATACAATGCTATTGAGAGGATCAGAAAAATGGTATAGATAGGAAAATATTTAATTTTAAAAAATTCTGCGTGAAATTAGGGTAAAATTAACCCGTTATACTGCAATTGCGAATCTAACTCGTGAATTTTTCATGCTAAAAATGATCTCATAAATATAAATTACACTCGCGTTAGGCTAAAATTGTACTGAAGGTATTTTAACTCGCGGAAAATTTGTATAAATTCTGAAAAAATTGTGTAATTGTATTGGGAATGAAATAGGTATTAGAATAGGCAATGAAATGGGTAATTAGAATGAAGTAATTTTACAATGCATAGTTTTAGACAGATATAGCATATAATTTTAATATTCGCCAAGAAGATCATAAGTAGTTAGACTCGTTATAGTAGTGCAAAGGGTTCGAATAGTATTTTTACCCAAAATTTTAAGAGCAGAGATACACTTGCACCGCGTTTTCGTCCAATTTCTCGATTATTTCAATCATTCGAACTCATCACGGTCTTCAGAAAATTCACTTCGCGTTGAGATTTCTTTGTAACAAAAATATAGTTATGGATTAGTTCAATGGATTAATACGCGTGACACATGCTAGCCTGTTCTACCGTTTGAACTGAACTGAAAAATGAAAAGAAAGAAGGCTCGAATAGTCGTGTTCTGCAACGCAAGGAATACATTCATACAAGATTTATCGTGACCTCGCATGACTAGGGTTTGTAGATTTAAGTATATAGGTAAAAACGAGAAAAAATATGGATTCAGCAAGACTTCTTTTTGAAGGGTTAGGGTATAAATATTTCACTAATTTGTTTTACACGCCTATAGCTAGGAAACAACGTTTCAATGCTATGTCAATAGCTATAAGCTGTTCTTTATCGTTACAAAGATATAGCGCAGCCAAGTATGCTAATTTCAACAGGAAACGTGATCATTTTAATACAGGCATTTTCTCAATTTTCAAAGTTTCTACAAAAATTGTAGATAACTTAGAGCAATCCTCGTGTGTACCATAACTTAGGAACACCTAAATATCTCCCTCAATTATGATAAAAATTTTTCCTTTGAAAAAAATTTCCAAACAAAATTGCAATATTTGAAGTAGACACATATGACAGTAGCATTGATACTTTTCACAAGAATTTGAAGTACTTTTGATCATTCGATGGTAAATAAATAAAACAGTTTAAGCAAACCGATGATGTACATGCTGAAAACGCAATGGACGAAGAATCGTGACGCATCAAGCAAACGTAATTAATATTTTAAGTCGTCCTGGAGAGTTTATTCATAGCGTCGTAATTAAAGGAGATATTTAGGTATTCCCATTCAAGTGCTTCATCCTGTATATTCTCATAAATATAACGTGAATTACGATATACACGAGAATTGCTATAAGTTATCTAGAATTTATTTTAGAAGCTTAGAAAATAGGAAAAAAATCCGGTTTTAGAATGATCACGTTTTCTGAGGAAATTAGCATACTTGGCTGCCCTGCATAGTTAAAATTCTATGGATTTTCAACATCAAGAAATTGATGGTAGTTCATGTTTTTCGCAATTCGTAGTCCTCATTCTACAAGTATAAAATAAATTATAACATACACGAGGACTACCACGATATAAGTTATCTAGGATTCTTTTTAGAATTTTCAAAAATAGGAAAAAATGATTGTCTTAGAGTGATAGCGTTTTCTGCTGAAATTAGCATACTTGGCTGCCCTGCATAGTGAGGATTCTATGGATTTTCGATATCAAAAAATTGGCCTTTGTTCCCATTTGAGTGCCCCATCTTGTATACTCTCATAAAGTAAATTATGACATACACGAGGATTGTTATATCTTATCAAGTATTTATTTTAGAAGCTTCGAAAATAGAAAAAATGCCTGTCTCAGAGCGATAACGTCTTCTGCTGAAATTAGTATACTTGACTCTCCTGCATAGTTAACACTAGATTTACGGAACCCGTCAATTTGACGGAAGGGTTGCTCCAATTATACGATGGTAACAGATTTAGTTAACTTATATTAAGGCTGTTAATATAATATATAATTGTTTTTAAATTAAACTAATCGTTAAAAAAAAGAGGGCACGTGGTTTCCTTTACCTGTCAATTTGACAGGTGTCCTAAGAAATAGGTATACAGATGGCGTCCGTAAATCTAGCGTTAAAATTCCATGAATTTTGAACATGAAGAAATTGACCGTAATTTCCACAGTCCTCTTCCTTCTGTCACTGGCTATGACACCATAAACCGTAGACAAGTGTCACATCTGGTCTCCGTCCGCCATCGTTCTCCAACACTATCGTATCCTCCGACACCGATTTCTCGCTCGGCCGATCTTTCTAAATCCGCCCATTACGCATACGTTGCGTAATTACGCGATAATTGCGCAAACCTGTTCAACTGTTATACCATCCCACGTGGACGAGTGCTTCTTTCTCTCGCGAAACCGCGAAATTTCGCAATTCTCTCCCCCGTGCACCGTTACACTCGGTCGTTTCCTGGCCCCGACAACCTTGCCCTGCGCGAATAACTTATCCTCGAGGAGGAACGGCTCGCAGATCGTCGCGTTTACGTGCTCATTGTACGTTTCCAGCATTTGATATTCCAAGGTCGCCGGCTCTTCGCACACCGGATACACTTATGCAACAGTGTGTACATTTACGCTTTCCTCGGCCGGCCAGCTGGTCGACACGCATGCAAAAACGCTATCGATTCACCGGCCTCCAGTGACGAAAGTTCCTTGACATCGCTTTCCACGCGTTGCGAGTACCAGCACCTGGTCCTGTATCACCGCGATCGAATCCACGTAATCGGGTTTCATTCAGGTCGAGCTCCTTCGTCTGGTTGGAGTCGAGGTTTGCAGTCGAGGCTTTGCTCCTTTGGACGTCGCAGTTTTCGGCTGTTTTCTTTGGGTCAACTAGCAAGCTTCTCTAAACGATCTTTAGAATAGACAAATAGTCAGGTGACAGGCAGAGTCTCTGACTGTTTATGCCTAAAATACTAATGCCTATTGATGGCGAGATGACCAGTAGGAGGTGTCCAAGCTTTCGAGCTGAAGAATAGGCAGTTCAATAAAGACCTTTGGAAAGGAAGGCCTCCTTCGTTTGAAGGTCTGTTAGAGCCGAGGTTTACACACGAGGCTTCGTTCCTTTTGGACGTTGCAGTTTTCGACTGTTTTCTTTGCGTCAACTAGCAAGCTTCTGTAAACGATCTTTA